TTATCACAAGTTGTTCTAAGGAATGGGTTCTATCCTTTGGCTCAGACACCTTGCTACCCACTTTATAAGGCTTGTCTTCTAGTATCTGAAGGGTCCTCATGCAAAAGATGGAGCTGGTTTGCAGGAACGGAATCAATGGGTGAGGAAGTGCAGGGAGGCAGATTTTGCCTACACATTAGGAGAAACTTCCCTAAGGTTAGGTTAGAGCTGTTCGACCGTGGAACAGGTTGTGGAGGAGACTCTCGTTTCCTAGGGGCATTTAAGCACCTGCCAGGGATGCTGTAGTGCCAACCCTAGATCACTGCTTGAGTTACGGGCAAGGGGATCAGAACCTTGATCCATCTAGTTCCATGTTTTCTGCACTGACTGGCAGCGGATCTCCAGAGCCTGAGACCAAAATGAACCTGGGGTCTTTACATGCTGAGCTCCAAGTCCTTCCCCAAAGGCACAGCTTGGGAGAGCAATTTTGCTATTCTCTGTTGTTATTGACTTATTTGCCTGGTTGGAAATCCTTCGCCAAGTTCCCTCGCTCGCTGGTCTTCTCTCCTCCCCATCCAACCTCTGCGCTTGGAAGATTGATAGGCCTTTTCCAGCGTGGCTTTTCTCTCTCTCTCTCTCTCTCTCTCTCTTCCCCCTGAAGCTGTCGACATCGGCAAATTAATACTACTAATTACCCCTCAGTGGAGACTAACCAGATCCTTCTTGATTGGATTTTGACTGCTGTATTTTGGAGCTGCGGCTGTAAGGACGGGACCCAGCCGGCGTCTGCGCAACATAAACCCGCTGGTGGTGACGACTGCCTGCTTTTCACGCTTTTAAAAAAAATAGGGTGTGGAGAAGGGAATTTATCAGTCTTCGTGCAACCGCGCTCGAGCAGCGCTGCTGGGTTAGGGCGGTTTGCGGAAATCAGGCGAAAGGCGGCTTAAACCCGCGATCACCGTTGCTCTTTCTAGCCCACGGAAAGCCTTGGAAGATGCTTTCTACACAACTCGACGGGGGGGGGGTGAACCCGACAGAAGGAGAAAGAGATGAAGATACAGAACTTGGGGCTGTGGTTCTTGCATTCTCCTGAGTACTGTCCTAGGACTAAATCCCATAGGAGCCAGTGGGGTGGACTTAATTCCGGGGTAGCCAACGTGGTCTAGGAGCCAACTCCTAGGGCCCCAGGTCCCTTCGGTCCCCCCAATAAAATATTTGAGGGGTCCAGCCCCCCTAAGTTGATGGGCATTGTCATTCAAATGGTGTGTGCCGTGTCTTGTGATAGATTTTCAGGAGCGGGGCTTAACCTCCCCCCCATATTTTATTCAAGTTGGCACCCTTGCAACGTGGTGCCCTCCATATGCTGTTGGATTAAAACTCAGCCCCGACCAACCGCCAGGACTGCTGGGACTCGCAGTTCAACAACAACATGACTATCTCCACTTTCATGACTCATAGGATCGGGACACAAGAAGATGCTTTAGATTAGAAAAGGCAGGTCATTGGTCTGCCTAGTTCTGTATTGTGGATGCTGGCTGGAAAATGGCTCTTAATTAAGAGTTTCAGGCAGGAGCCTGGCGATGCTGAGGATTGAACCCGGGGACCCTTTGGGCACTCAGAGCACTGCACATCGGGGCGTCGTCACGGTCACGTGGGCTTGCGTGCTAAGGCCATGCTCGGCTATGCATTTCTATCTGGTGGCAAGGGTTCCAACTTGAATAAAATATGGGAGGGGCAGATAAGCTCCACCCCGCATAATCGATCACACGACGCGGTGCATGCATACCACGTAAATAGCAATGCCAATCAAGTTTGGGATGGTTCGGCCCCCACAAATATTTTATGGAGTTGGTTCCTATGTCTGATGGCAAGTCCCAACGGGGAAAATTACGTAGGATCACTCTGCACAAATTCGCGGTAGAATTGAGCGGCTCCCTTTCCAGAGAATAGCAAGGAAACAGTGTCATAAATTCGCTTCGAAATGGGATAGATCACAGTCTTGAGCTAGATTTCTTCTATTGCCCTTTAAAGCACAAACTTCCGCCCCAAACCAATCCCTTGGCAGGTTCGTCAATCCTCGATTATAGTCTTTTTCTTTCTTTCTTTCTTTCTTTCTTTCTTTCTTTCTTTCTTTCTTGGGGGGAGAACCGCACTGACACAGGAATGTCACATAAAACAGACCTCCCCACTCCCCACCTAAGGAGCTCATGAGTCGAATTTACAACGCTAGCTGAGATTATAACCTCGACAGATCAGCTATTTCTAAATGCTTGCGTCCAGTCAGATGTGGACGCATTTGGGTCTTGAGAAAGAGACAGGGAGCCTCGACTAAGGAATAAAATAATTAAGGCTGCAACCCCAACCCCTCTTGCCTGGGAGTAAGCCCCATTGACTTCAGTAGGACTGACTTCCGAGTAGACATGGGACTGACGCGGGGATAGAATATGAGATCTTTAACAGGGTCCTCCACCTCTTCTGTGGTTTGGGAAGAAGAGTGCTGTGTAAGTCGCAAGTCTACGCAGCTGTATATATTTACACCAACCCCTACCTGGCCCAAAGGATAATTCTCAGTTGTCATCTACATTTATCCGGCAGATCCATGTCTATTATTATTATTATTATTATTATTATTATTAAGAAATGATGGAGCATAGATCAATGACTGAACAACATTGACCAGGCACTTTCTTAAGTTCATTACACCCTTCCTTACCTCCCGGGAACTCGAGCTGACTTACACAGACTTCTAGGGCGGCCTCCCACCCCGCGCTGACCAGACCCAAGCTCAGAATTCCTCCAGGAAGTGACCGGAAGTTCGAAACAAGTCGCTCTCAGAGTGGCTGCAAAAGGGCCGGCAGGCAGATCTGCGGAGGGAAACGGGGCGCAGGGGCAGACCTTGACTGTCGCCGTCCGTAACGTGTGGCTTTAATTACATGCCTTCCGGCTTAGCACAGTTACAGAAGAGGACGTAGCGCAAAATGTATTCCCGCCTGGTATATATGGAAAGCTACTCCTTTCTTCCTTGCATTTGTGGGGGGAAAGAGGGGGACGATTTCATCACCATCGACCTCTGTATGTGTCACTCCAATTCCAAGATTGGCTTCATGAGGTCTAGGCGTGGGGTTGGAGCTATTCATTAACAATACGTAAAAGAATAACCCTTCGCTCATTGCACGTGTCAGACACGACTGTCTATGTGGCCTTGGAGGCGTTACTACGCTTGGGCCTCAGTTTCCTATTCATTTGCCATAAAAGAAGGAAGAATGAATAGATGGACGGACGGACGGACAATCAGACCAGGAATAAATTATTCTGGCATCAAAATGAAATAGTTCCCTAGAAGAGGAATTAAACCCATCAGTGTAACTAAAGCCAACGCGATAGGTTGAGTCCTGTTGAAGTCATTGGAGGCGAAATGGTCCTTCATTGAATTATGGAGCGGCTCTATTAATTTGCAATTTTTTAATTAAATGTGCGTGACAGAAAGATGCTACTTTCAACATAGTGGTAGGCCTCCCTCCCGCCTCCCTCCCTCTCTGTGTGTGTATCTGTCTGTGTCTTACGTCTCTCCCCAGAGTTAATAGATAATGGATCTCTCAATGGATCGCTTATACGTAATTAATTTTCACTTATGTTTCGTTGTCTACCGAGAACTTGATGAAGAAGCCGCTCAGTTTATAGGGACGGAAGCCGCCAGGGAGGGGAAAGCCAGCGAGTTTTGTCCAGTATAGTTAGATCATTAGAATTTCCTGGGTAAAGAAATGCAGGGGCGAAAGGGGGGGGGGGGGAGAGAAGCCAGGGCAACTTCATTAATTAAATCAACTCCAACAGAAACATGAAAACTTCTGCCTCTGCCTCTGTCTCGTGTGTTTACTACCAGCCCATGCCACGCTTGGTAAATGTATTCTTTGAAGGTAAGAGTAAATAATTGCCTTTAGCGCAAACAAGGGGAAGCGACGCGGAGGCTTTTTGAAGCTCGCTAAAAATAAGCTACAAGAGAAAGCGAAAAAGCTGAAGGTGGAGGAGAAAGAGGGAAGGAGGCCATCGCGATAATTTGATGCAATTAAAGTGTCTGCCTTCATTTGCCGAGGCGATCCTCGCTCTCTCTGGTTCTCGGCGATACTCTTGGAGATGTGACGAGAGAGAGAGAGAGAGAGAGAGAGAGAGAGAGAGAGAGAGAGAGAGAAGATCCGGCCGGTGGGTCGGTTCCTTGCAGCGAGAAGGAGTTCGCTGCTGGACCGTCTGAAATATTGATGGACGGGGCTGCAACTCGATCGGAGATGCAGGCAGGAGAGCGCCGCGTCTCTGCTTAAGGAGCCAGCTCTGAGAAATTGCAGCCTTCGCTCGCCGCCCCGCTTTAGAAGGGATTAGAAAACGAAATACGGAAGAAAAGTCCATGGGTGCTGGTTGTTGCGCTTTTGCGCGCGGACGCAATTCTCTGGCTAGGGCCGGGGCGCTCGTTCCGAAGTCTTTCCCTCCCCCCCTCAGAAGTAAACCCCACAGGTTCCGATGGGATTGTAGGTTGGATCGACCCCGCCGCCCCCACTCCACTTCCTCCTCTCCTCTTTCCCTTTCTCATTTCAGCAAAGCCAAAGCAAACTTGTGGACAGACAGGAATCCACCCAAGCGCCTGATCCCCCTGGCACATTCCGAACTTGGAGACGGGCCGACCTTCTCCCATAGAAAATAAGAGGAATAAGACAAGATTTGTAAAAGCACATCAAGAAGGGAGAATAGTACGACACAGCCAGAATAATGGGGCCAATAAATCATCGTGGAAAACGTCTCGTTGGTGAATTGGCCTCTGAATTGCTGCTGCGGTCCAGATTTTAATTTCCACGGAGTCCTGAGTTCCAACGTGGGCTCAGAGGGAGACTTTGGTCCAGACGCTCCCTCTGGATTCCAACCTACCTCACAGGGTTGTTGTGAGGGCATAATGGAGGGATGCCAGGCACACAATCCCAGCGGTTAAAGGCAGGATTAAAATATAAATACAGTTGGTGGTAGTGATTTATTAGTAGCATTATTTAATGTTTAGTAGCAGTATTTAATATTATCAACAGAAGAGCAGCAGCAGCAGCCTTGGAGCGATCCGTAACTTGGAGAAGCTAAAATGTTTGGAATGAAACTGATGTGGAAGACAGCAGCAGCCGAAAAACTGATCCGTGGAGGGAGAAGGGGTGCTGTGTGACTGCATTGGATTTGGACCACATCTTGAGCATGCTCCTACAAAGTCAGCCCTCGTAAGTAGGAAGAGGAGAAGGAGGAGTTGTGGATCCCGGCCAGAGACTATTGAAGTTTGGAGTAAAGGTTGGAAGGTACCAAACAGCCCCCAGTTAAGGAATCGCTCGGCTTTTAAGGCGTTTGCCACTGAAGCCAGAAGAAACCGTTCCGAAACAGTATCTCGAATTAAGACAAGGTGGTGGTGGTTTAAATAGAAGCAAGGAAAGCGAGCATCTTAGCAGGCTGTTATCCTAAGCAGCACTGCAACGGGGGGAATAAGGCCAATTGGTTTCTTAGTAAGTATGCTGAGGATTGGGGGCGGCCTTAGGTGCCTTCAGGATCCAGATGAAGGGCAGCAGCACCGTGCGTGGCAGATGTTGTGAGGACAGGACGCGTTCACACGGGGAAGCTGCTGCCTCGGATTCCACCAGAACATGCGCATCAAAACAATGCACCACCTACTGCTAAACTCCCGAGACTCTGCACCCTGATCACCCCACATCCCCAGTTTAGTTCCTCACCCACCGCCTTTTACACCCCCACCCCAGGGAAAGTTATTGTTCCTAACCCCGCCCCCCTCTCCCGCAGGGCTTTGAAAGCGCTAGATCGCCTCCCCAGCAACACACATTGAACCCATCTGGAAGAAGGATCCGGTTTAAATTACAGGACAAATCTGTACAAGAGACAGTGGCTGGGTCTCTGTGGATCGTTCCCGTCTGCCTTCCATTATTTTGACCCAGGGTGCTGTGCAGCAAACGCTGCGTGTGTGATCCATCTGTGTAGGCTTCCCCCCTCCCTCCCTCTCTCCCTTCTCAGCTTGTCCCCCCCCCCCCGCACGCTCTCCGCCACTTCCTTCACACTAGCGGTATGGAAAGCCCTTGACGCCTGCCAGTCTGTTATAATGCTCGTGGGTTTACAATCCAGAAAGCGAGGAAGGGGGAGGAGGGGGGGAGGAGGAGGAGAAAAGAAAGTGTGTGTGCCGCGGGGGTGCGGGGGGCTGCGCGCGGTGGTGAGCGTCTTCTCCCCTCCATCCATTCTCGGACTGGCAGCGTTTAACTCCCTGGCTTCTCCTTAAAATAGCTCGCTTTCATCTAGAGGAGGTGACCTCTTTTTGTGGGATCCTTTGCTTCCCACTCGCTCGCTATTAAGGAGATGACAATATGACATCCCGGCAGAAGACGAAGAGCAAATGTGTTTGGGGGTAAACAGGATTGGGGGAAGCGCTGGAAATGTGATCAGCAGATGGAGAGGGGGGTTTGGGGGGCGGGAGGTTAGCCTGAGAGGGAGGGAGGGAGGGAAGGAAGGAAGGAAGGAAGGAAGGAGAAAAACTTTTAAGCAAATGCTTATATTTGAGAATAGTGTCAAATTTTAAGAGGTGGACAAAATAATAATAATAATAATAATAATAATAATAATAATAATAATAACGATGATGACGACGAAGAAGGATTTAGGCAGGTGCCTTTTCATTCAGCTCGCACTTCTCATTCACTCCTAATTAGCTCTCTCCTACCGATGTCAAGAAAGTGGCTTGCTCGGATGGATATTAAAGGTTGACAGAGGGAGCGCTGCCTTTCTAGACCATCGCGCCAGAAGGACTCGCGATTCCAGCGCTTTTTCTCCGCAGGACAGAGAGATGTCTCTGAGGCATCTCAGAAGCTGGGCACGGGTTAAGAAAGACACACACGTTCAGGGATCTTGCTCCTAACAAGTGAGCTGTACACGTGCACTGCGATCCTATAGAGGTCTGCTGAGATGGAAGTCCCGTTGGGATCAATGGGACTTATTCCCATGGATGAGATGGCGCAAGTTTTGCTATATAATCCCAAGCACTGAGAAGTGTGAATCCTGGTAAAGCACTCTTACTATGAAGTAAGCTCCACTGAGTACTGTACTACAGGAATTACTTCCGAGTGAACGTCCTTAGGATGGCGGAGCAAATACACCATGCATACGTTAATATCCCCAGAAGTATCCATCCATCCATCTATCCATCCATCCTTATCTCTCTATCAACCTACCTACAGAGTGGGCTATGTCCCAGGAATCTCGTCTTTGTGTGTGGATTGACTTATATTATCCGTTCCCCACAAACCTGTCTCCAGCTCAGACTGGGACTCTTCCAGATTCAGTGGATTCTGAAGAGATTTAGGTGATACCCATTTCGTTATTTGAGGTCTGACTCTTTAGGGTTTTTTTCCTTGAGAACAAGACATTGTGTCACAATCTTATCTGCTCTGAGCCTGTGGCATAGGGCGAGCTGTAAATCGAACGAAGGAAGGGAGAAAACAGATATCAGTTATCTGTGTACACACAAGCCAAACTTTAGGGGTCAGCTTAAATGGATCAGTTTCATGTATTCGCGCGCGCGCGCTCTCTCTCTCTCTCTCACGCATATAACGGATTACATCAGAATAAGATCAGAAAGCAGAGTTCCTCGCTTCCCCTCTCTCATTATTTTAAAGGGAAACAAAACAAACATTTTCTCTTTTTGAGCCCATTTTAACATGGTGTGCGCGCGTGTGTGCTGTGTATATTCTATATCCCTAAATACAAATATATATATATTAACAATCCTACACATGTCTTAATCAGAAGTAAGTTCCAATAAGTTCATAGAGGACAGCAGTTTAAGCCTCTTTTCTCTCTTTCTTCCAGACACTGGGGCTGCCAGCCTGTTACCTGGAAGTAACCTCAGGGGACTTACATATGAGTAAGAGTGCAAAGGACTGCTGTCTCACAGCCCAATCCTATCCGTGTTTATTGTGAGTCCCGTTCAACATAAGCCATGTTTAATTCCGATCAAATATGGCCGGGCTCAGTTTACAAAGCGCTCAAATACTCAAGTAAACTGTTTGCTTGTTCATGTCGAGATTTTTTTGGGGGGTGGGGGCTGTCACGAGGGGCTGGATAGATCCACTATAGACAGTGCCAGTTGTTCTAGAAATTCGTGAACAAGACTTTGGTAGCAGCCCTGCAACCCCTACTTTCCCGGTGCATATATATATATTACACACACACACAACCTTGAAATGCTTTCAAACATATTTTGCTTGGTTTTAAATTGACACGCACACACCCAGAACTAAAAAGTTAAATACAGAACTAAATTGCACGCATGGGTTTCTGAAAAGCCTCCACCATCACCAGGAATCTGGTGGAACCGTTAAGGAGGAACACATGATTTCTATATTGAAAACGCTCTTTCTAACCCGCCTCTCAGGGCACATTGCCTTGCAAGGCGGTGTTCAAAACTGTGTTAACAAACCAGAACGCTGTCGCAGTAAAAACCATATCACAGGCTCTCAGAAAATAGGCAGTAGCAATTAATCCATAGAAGCCAACAACAATGTGGGGGCCACACATATTTTTTTTGCGGGAGTGAATCTGCCAGATGTGAGGCCATGACTGAAAAAACCCTATCCCATGTATCTCTTGGCAGGACCTACAGTGTAAGCTTCCGTGAACCATATGTCCACATCAGCATTATTCTAGCCCATGAAGCTTTTATCATAATACAATTTGGGATATTTGAAGCCTCGCAAGACTCCATTGTTTTTGCAGTACCCTGTTACCTTTTAAAGAATATATATATAGATGCCCTCAAAGAATGCAGAACGCCATCCGCGCTGCGGGGATTTATTTATTTGCTTATTTCACTTTATACCCCGCCTTTCCACAATCAATCCCCAGGGCGGCTAACAACAATTCAACATAAAATAATGCGATCAAGTTGCATGCAAAGGGAGCTGCTTTCATTCATTTCAGGACGAACGTTTTGGTGGGTTTCTCCTCCTCCACAACCCCATGCCCCAAAAACCTTATATGAGATAAGCTCAAACGTCCCCCTCCCCCCAAACTCTGGTCTATAAACCCTTTAAGCAAAGGAATAAAATATACTGTGTAAGATGTCGCGTTTGACAGTGGAATGAATTATATGAGCGACCCAGTGGATGCTACCAGGCGTTTTGGAAGTGTGTCTGATTGACTTTCTACCGACTCCGCATAAATCACTCTAAAAATAGGACCCCCGTTTCCTGTTGTTCTCGGAATGTATCTATTAACAAAAACTCGGGAAGGGGAGGAGGCGGAGAAAAGGGAACACAGACCGTCCCTACTACCGAGTGTTCACACGCGACAGTATGTGCGCAAGTGGTTTCGGCGCTGCGCTTACTTTTCCTAAGTACAAAGAGGTATCTCCGGGGTTAGGAAAATGCGTTCAGGTCCGAGTTGCATCAGGAGCTAGGCTGGTTTGGAAAGGTCCTTCCACTGGCATCAGTGGGACCCATTAAATAGAGCTTTGTGGTCGGCGGCTGCCAGGCAGATTCTGTTCAAAGGCACACTCATTTCCCTGGGTTGCAGATCGGGACATCTATTTACTTCCAAATTTCGCGGCCATCGAGGTCGATTTCTTCGTCATCAAATACTTCCAACCCTCTCTCTTTCTCAGATTCAGGATCCACCGGGTCTTAAGCTCCCGGTATGAAATATGCTATGCGCAGGAGAAATAAATAACTTAAAAGACCCACTGATTGCATCTGTCAATATCCTGCGCGCATCTGGCGGAGGACGAGGGGAAGGGCGGAAATATATTGTTTCTCTTCCAACAAATTCACTCTTAGGAGTTGGGAAAGAAGCCTTTTCTCGGTAGCTCCTTGCAGTATCAGGAGCGAGCGGGATATGTGCGCGAGAGTGTCTCTCTGAGTATGCTTTAGGTGAAAAATTCATGGCGAACGTTTGCGTGGAAGGGAGGCCCATCACTGGTTTCAAAGAGCGCAGTGTGCGTGGATCACAACAGTTTGACACCCTCGATCTGACACACATCATGTAGACCTTTCCCATTTTTCACTGGGTTTTGTGTGTGTGTGTGTGTGCGTGTGTGCAGTCCCACTCTTTGAAACCGACTGTTGCTCCCAAGATAAATATGTTCGCGATGTACTGGACCCGCTGCGAAAGTTCCATCGCGACCCACGAGGAGAGGCGCGCAGCGCGATCCTAACCACTTTTCATCCAAAATAAGTCCTAAGACAGTTACTTACGCCCGAGGAGAGAAAGCGTGCTTTGGATTGCGGCCCTAAGAAGCCCCTTGCTGCATCCAGCGCCAGGCTGCTTAAATATAAGGGAGCCAGAGGATTTGGCTGCAGTAGGAGGTCCGTAACCCAAAGCAAACACCGTTCGGCCTTGATTACGGATTTTCTACAAGGAAAGGGGAACCACTCTCTTAGTTACAGAGAGACGAGAGGAAGAAACCACGGCTGTCTTTGTGTGCATGTGTTTTAGGCGGGGTTCTACTGGTTTGGAGACTACTCCTAGGAAACGGCCTCTCCCGCTTCATTCTCTTAATTCTAGAGGAATCTCATTTGAAGAACCGCGAAGCAATTTGGGGAGGGGGGAGCCACCTAGATGTTGAATCAATTTCCACAAAACAAGAAAGGCCTGTAGAAGTAACTTTGCCACACCATTTTATTAGATGGTTTCCCGTAGAGCCTGCCAGCTTAGACTATGCGGAGCTCAATGGACTAATAGCCTCTCTCCAACTTAAGGAATATTCTTGAGTCCTTAAAGCCAGAAAGACCTTCCAAGCAAATGTGCAGGGGGTGTGTGTGTGTGTGTGTGTGTGTAGATCTTATATTTGACAGGTTTGAGGGCCTCGCTTTTGACAGTTTATGTTCAGTTCCTTACAGCCACTACACCTCAAAATAAAAATAAAAATAAAAAATCCACGGGAAAGTTGCCGGCTTTCTCACACGGTGCGATTTATTTCGAGACCCGTGTAAACGAACACCAAGTTATTCCTGCGGATTCAAAGGCTACTTATACAGGTCTAATTTCCTTAGAATGAACCTTGTAACTGAGCTCGTCTTAGCAACCAAACACCCTCCCCAAGTCAGGCTTTTCCTTGCAATGAGGCCTGAGGAAAGCCGCTGAGGAAACCAAGGCCAGGAGCTTTTCGTAGCGATGGGATGAGTGGAGAAGAAAAGAATATGGTTTAGAATAGTATCTCTGTGCTTATTCTGTGGGCAGTTTCGCTTAATGGCTTTATCTCTACAACTTCGTTAAACTAACGAGTGGTTCGCAGCTAAGTTTAACTCAGCTTAGACCCAGCGAGGTGATTAAACATGCCTAAATTGTGCCCAGGAATTTCTGTAGGTCTACTCTGAAGTAAAAACTTAGTTGAATGCCATCCAGTGGGTCTGAATGTAACAGAGCCACAGGCCAACCTCACCCAGTGAAAGTGCAGTGCTTGTGGGCGCCATATCCTGAACAAGTACAGGATCTGAAATAAGTCCCCGCCGCGTGGAGGCTCTCCCCCAGTAACCGGACTTCAAAGGGTCATCGCCCCGATTGGGAAACAAACCCTTATTTATTTAGGAAGAGCTTACTTCCAATGCAGCTTGAGTATCTCATACTAAATCCTTGATTTCAGGTGGGGAAGACAGAGAACCTCTTGGCTTCGGATTATCCTTCTGGGCCCTTTACATTCTGGCCTGCTAAACCGAAACGTTTCCCTTCGGATCTGACTAGAACAGAAAGACGGAAATTAAGGAACGGAGTGGGGGGAGGAGGAGATAAGAAGTAACAGGGAAACCTTGCTTTCTGTATAGGCCATAAATGCACAGCGTGCGTCTTTTGTGAAAAATCGCGGTTTTCCATGTGGGTGAAGAAGGAGGGGAGGGGGAAAACCCCCCACCCCCCACCCACTGTTACTACTTCACCCCCCCCCCTCCACGGCTAGGCCCGGGGTTCCTCAACTTCGGGACCAGCGAGGACAGCTCCACCTACCGCCACTTCTCCCCGAGAACGACCTCGCCTTCAGATTCCCCAGGGGCTTCCTCCGCACCCTCCCTGGAAGGTAACGAGAGGTTGAACCAGGTATCCCTCCGGGATAGGCCTCGCCCTTCCTTCTCCGCTGGAGAACTGGCACCCTGCGGGAAGCGGGGACTAAGGGATCGATCCGAGGGTGGCTGCGGGGATCAGCAGCAAGAGATCTCCCACACAGGCTAGGGGAATTGAAGTTCGAAACGGGGAGGAGGCACATTTCAGCTGCGTTCCCCCAAGCGCCGCTCCCTAAAGGTGTGAGAGGCTCTTTCCCAACAGGATCCTGAAAACAATAAATATTTACGAGGCTCCTCGAAGTCAAGAGCCATTCACACCAGCCAATGGGAGCCTCAGAAAGTTACCGCCAGCCTGGTGGATTTGGATAATGGAGCAATTGCCAGGATGAGACCCAGGGAGTTCAACCAGTTAGGGGTGGAGAGAGGAAAACCCCGGTGAGAAAAATCGTTCGGGAAGTTTGTCGCTCTATCATTTATCCATCCATCCTAGACACATTAAAGAGAGGTCGGCGCCACCTGTGCGGATGTATTAAAAATCGCCAGGCAGATTTTGCCAAGAGTTGTGTTTGTCTATAGGTAGAGCTGCGTAATGTTAACAAGAGAACCGAAAGCATCAACAGAGCCAAAATAATAGCAACTGGTCTGCTTTGAGGTAAGAGATTCGTGATCACAACCATGCTAGGTATGCCTCGACACCTTGATGCTGTAGTGGGGGTGCCAAAGAAGCTCAGAACAGGGATGGCAACATAGGTAGAATGTTATCTTGTATTTGGGGCAATTCCACCGCAGGTGGGTGGGTATGCAAGCTTTCGAGCTGCACCGAGTTCTTCCGCCTCGTGTGTAGCTTAGAAGTTGGCGTATTTCTATATCAACAGAGTTGGACCAATAAAAGAGATCACCTTACTATGTGTATGTGTGTGCATAGCGCGTGTATGTGTCTATTACGTCAGTGATGGAACAGAACAGATAAAGGATATACATCTTGCCGAGCATTTTAGAACAAATACAGAAAGGTGCCCATTCAAAAGAGGCGAGTGAATAGATTGATACAAACGATAATTCTATACACATTTCTATATAGGGATTCGTTCCCTTGGATATCATAAACTCTCAAAGAAAGGGGGGGGCAGTTTACCCACCAACATATTTGCCTGGTGAGCTGCTTATGGATCTCGCAGCCTCTTCCCCCGCCTCGCTACACGCGCACGCGTTTCTCTCCTGATTTTATTTCCTTGAAAATAAAACCGCTTAACGATTTCGCTCTCATATCATCTGCTTTAACAGAGGTTCGTGTGGCAGGACACAAACACATATATAGTCACAGATGGATCCTGTGCGAGTTCACTCCGAATTCATTGCCAGTGAGTTCAAATGAGGACTTACCCTCAGGTAAGCGTGCATAGGAATTGCAATCCTAGAAACGCACCGAGCAGAGCTTTTCAGAGAGAGAGAGAGAGAAAGAAAAATAAATAACACCGACAACAGAAACTCTCCCTAACCTAGTCCTCTCTCCACTCCCCAGTGTTTTCCGAAAAGCAAAAGAGAAACGCGACTGTTCTTGGCACCTGCAGAAAACCGCTTCCCCGACGGTTGTTAACAAGAAGCTGGAGGGTATAAAGCAATAAACCTGCCAAATCTACCTGCGCTTTAGTTACACCCTAGGAAGAAAGTCTCTCAGGAAACTGGCAGCAGAACGCTAGTTGGACCTTCGCTCAGCTCTCTTAAATATTAAAAATCGCGCCACTCCATAACCACCTCTCTCTCTCTCTCCCCCCACCACCACCCCAGTTCTTCCATAGGACTAGGAACATTTTTTATTTTTTTAAAAAAGGGCATTGGAGATTTGTAAATGCCCGTCTCGGGTTACCCTATTCGAGTGTCGGAGTATGACTCTTGTTAAGAACTCCGCGAACAAGGCAAGACACTTAGAGCTGCATTCAGAGTTACTGAACCGACTCCAGAGGCTCCAGGAGTTAAACGCCGAGAAAGAGGGGGGGAGGGGGAAAACAGCCCATCATCTCTGAAAGAGGCACACACTCCCCCCCCCCCCGCACACACTCCCTGTCCCGTGAACAAGTTACCCAACAACAGAGCGGTGATCTCTCTGCCTTACCCATCTCAAAGCGCAACCAAACCTTTTGAACGCAAAGCGCAACGCGCAAAATGGCAAGATCCGTGGGATTCTTAAGAGCCAACTATTTGCTTAAGGTTTGTCATGACCTGGCGAGAAGGAGGGAGAGAGAGAGAGAGAGAGAGAGAGAGAGAGAACCTCTTCTTGATCCTTCTCAATGCCAGGCCTTATTTTTAAAAAATAAATACTTGCCATATCCGTAACAAACAAATCTCGTAGCACTGTCATATCACACGGCCCCTTGGTCTTGATAAATCCCCCCCCCCCACCTCCAGGAGAAAAGTTGCCGATGTAGGGAAAGCTGGCAGGTTTATCAGCCTCTCCAACTTTCTCTAGCTTCTTCTCTCCCCCACCCTTGAAAGCGGTCTGGTTTTTCCCCCCTACCTGACTCCTCTTCCGTAAATCTCCAAAGATCCTAATGTTTCCCTGCTCAGTGGACGACAGATTTTTTTTTGTCTAAAAAAAGGAAAGCACAGGCTGACTTGTCCCCCAGAACGAGAACGAGATAGATCCGCTGGCGTGTTGGTTCCAACTTAATGTCTTTCCCCGGTCCATCTTTGCGAGAGATGTGGCGATACCACCTGGATGTTCTGTTATAAATCCCCTAGCAAATAATAAATGGATTAATAATAACAAGGTATGAGGTTCTTTTTATAGAAAAAAATGGGAGAGAATTGAAACTAAATGCGGCAGTTAGACAACCATTTTGATAAGAGGATAATTGAGGCGACACTGGTGTATAATTAGAGGATAATTTATGCTATATCCACTTTTATTCCACCTCCCAAAATAAACCCAGTCCATAATCATTACAGGCAAATTGTTCTGAATTTTATAGCTGCAATTTGAACAAAGTAGTGCAGTTAATCATGGGAGATTTTTCTCTCTCTCCTTTTTGTGTATTCCTGATTAGAAGTCTAATTGCCTCCTTTCGGAAAGTAAAAATAACTGCGAAGCGACTCTATTTTTATCATTAACAATGTTGACAATAAAATAAAATCAACTGGAATTGTAATCGAAAGGCAAATTTAGGGTGAAGGCACTTTTCCTCGGGTAGTTTATATTGCAATCAAGATTTGCCAAACCACTAACCGCATGTCTCATTTGCATATATTTGAAAGCATTACAGGAGCTTCTGTTTTCAATAGGAGGGGGAAATGTATTACTGACAGATCTCTGAGGATTCGCCCTCGGAGCAGGATGCTGAAAAAGCAGACACTATTGTACTGATCCAAGGACAGCGCTCCGAAAAACGAGTTCGCGCTCGTAGTGGGTGTTTGTGTGTTTTAAATGAATCCTTCCCCTGGGCACATTGCATCATCGGGAAAATACCTCAGGAAGGAACCCTGCTAATTTTGTCCAGAAGAACTCTGAGTTGCCACCCAGGATTCTAGACCATAATTTACAGTTCTTTACTGGGCACCGCTTTGGCTCTGAACGCCAAGGCTGGACAGTGTTGTTGTGAATCCTAACGGACACGTGCGAGGCAGCGATAGCCTGCGATGCAACGACAGTAAGGAAAATAAATGCACATTCTTCTTTTTTATTGGGGAAAAAACCCCATAGCTCATTGGAAGGGTGCTTGGCTTTGTAAAAGCGAGGGTGCTACTTCGGAGCGCAGCTTTGTTGTGGTTGTGTGCGGCGCAAAACACGCGCGCGCGTGCCCGCGCGCGCACACACATGCACCCCAAGCTCCTGCCTAGCTAGCTAGCTGGCTGGCTGCTTCTCGCTCGCTGCGAGCTCTGAAGTTGTGCAGAAGGTGGGCTCGCGCTGACGCCAGTAGAAGTGCCCGGGCTGGGTGACGTCACGGGCGGAGTGACCAATGGGGAGGCGCTGCCCTTTGGAGACCAACCATTCGACTTGTGGCGTTTTCTCTCTTTCCACCTCGCCCCCCCCTCTTCCCGCTCCCGCTGTTGTTGTGTGTTGTCGTGCGCCTTCCCCTCCCCCTGCTGCCTCAAGTCGAAAAGCAGAAGCACAACTTTATGAAAGAGAATCCACCTTAAAGAGAAAGGGGGTTATCTCTCTCTCTCTCTCTCTCTCTCTCTCTCTCTCTCTGCTTTTGCCTTAAACTCCCTCAAGGTCCCCCCACCCCCTTGATGAGGGGGAAAGAAATTACCAAACCCAAAACCTAATAACAAACCCCAACCGGAGAGAGGGAGAGAGAAGGGGAGGGTGCGAGAGAGAAAGAGGGAGCGTGTGTGTCTGAGGTATAAAAAAAAAAAAAGCAAAAGCCCCCAAATGGAGGGAAAGAAGAAGCGTGAGGGAAAAAGCCCCGGGAAGGACTAAGTCTGCCGTTCTCTTTCTCTCTCTCTTTCTGGCCCCCCTCCTCCTCCTCCCTTTTCCCTCTCTCTCTCTCTCTCTCCCTCCCCAGCGCCTCTCACACTCCTCCCCTCCACCCCTCCCTCAGTTAACAAGGCCCCTCTCCCCCTATTGCTCTCTCTCTCTCTCTTTCTCTCTCTCTCTCTTTCTCCCCCTCTCTCTTTTCCCCCTCTCCCACCTCTCTCTCTCTTTCTCTCTCCCCCCCCCTCAGCTTTCGCTAAGGAAGAAGAAGAAGAAGAAAAAGCGCGCCCGGGGGGGGGGAATAGCGCGCGAGCCCCGTCGCTAATTCCCGCCCGGCGCAGGCTAATAGGCTCCCTCGAAGGTGGCGGGAGCGCGAGGGGGGCGACGACGACGACGACGCCGAGTAGCCGGGCTGAGGCGCTCGTCGCTGGCTGCCCAACTTGGATGATGACCATGACTACGATGGCTGACGGGCTGGAGGCGCCGGACTCGTCCAAATCCGCCTTCATGGAGTTCGGGCAGCAGCAGCAGCAGCCGCCTCCGCCGCCGGCGCCTCAGCAGCCGCCTCAGCCGCCGCCGCCTCAGCCGCCGCCTCCTCCAGGGGCTCAGGCGCCCGGCGGCGGCGGCGGCGGCGGCTCTTCGCACTCGGCGCAGCAGCAGCAGCAACAGCAGCAGCAGCAGAGCTCGCCGGCGGCGGCCATGGCGGGCACGCACTACCCGCTGCACTGCCTGCACTCGGCGGCGCCCGCCTCGCACTCGCACCCGCACCACCAGCACCCGCACCACCATCACCACCACCACCACCACCACGCCGCGCCCTACCCGGCCGGCCCCGCCGCCGCCGCCGCCAACTCGTACAGCCACCGCTCGCTGGCCGCCGCCGCCGCCGCCGCCGCCGCCTACCCCTACGTGAGCCACGCGCAGCACAGCCCCTACCTGCAGCCCTACCACGCCGGCGGCGGCGGCGGAGGAGGAGGAGGAGGCGGAGGAGGAGGAGGCGCGGGCGGGACGGCGAGGCCGGACGACGCAGGTGGGTGACACGGGAGGCAACGCGTGACGGAGCGTTCCCACGAGACGGGCGCGGAGATGCCCGGGCCGAGCCCCCGCGACCGGCCCGCTGGCTCCCGGCTTCCTTTGTCTCTCTTTCCCGCATGCCCTTCCTCTCCCTTTGTCTCCTTTTCCTGCTGCACTTCCCTCGCTTTCCCTCCATCGCCTGCCTCTTCTTCCTCCTTCTCTCGCCACTTTTAACCTTCCCTCGGAAGTAAGTTTACAAATCAATACGCAGGATTTCTTGGGCGAGGGGGGGGGTGTTGCTACTTTGCATGGGGATCCCTTGGCTCTCTCCCGCTCAGATCTCTGTTTGAAATGACATCTCCTCACCCCGATCCCGTGCAGGTTTCATTGGGAGGGTAACACCCCCCCAAAAAATAATAATAACAACAACAGTTCGCTTCCAGAGGACTTGCTTTCCTGTAAGCGTGGCTCGGATTTCGACAACTCTTTCCTGCCTTCCCTTTGCGTGCTCCGCATCCTGAGTTTCCCTCTGGGATCCATCCACACGCGTGCCTGGACGCAGGCCGCCGGCCGACGCGCGTGGGGATGCTCAGGCACGTGTGCCGTGTTTCGGGGACTCCGAGGCGCTGCCCTCCACTTGGAAGCTGCCCATGGACTGTGTGGATTGAAAACCTTAAGCGAAGACCCTGCTGGCTTTCTTCTGCGATAATGTAGCCGTCCAGAGGAACAGGAGTGATTTTGTTTTTTCCTAGGATGTTGTTTGCCTAGCCCGCGGATGCCCTCTCCACGACGGTGGTCTGTGCAGGACGAAGAAATGCGCTTAGAAAGAGCGGCCGGGCCGTAGCCCATCTCCTGCTACGGCGGGCTACTGCCATAGCACTGCAGGCTTCTTTGGGGAAGGAATTGCTCTGCCACGATTATTCCCTCTTTCTTGCTTTTGACGCAGGGTAATCAGAGAGAGAGAAAAGAGAGTCTAAAGCAGGGTTAGCGCCCGAGAGACCCAGGCCAGACGCTGGTGACTCCTGTGTCTTGTTGTGTTGGGCATATACTACAGAGAAGAGGTGTGTGGTGTGTTGTTTTTTTGCCTGCGCGATTTTATCACATCTTTAGCCCCCAGCCACTGTGCCTAGAAAATGACATTATAAATCCCGTCCGTGCACCCATCGGATGGCTAATCTGCAGTAAACGCCTCGAGAAACAAATGACAAAGTCGCCGAGGGAAGACGCAGCTCCGCGTCCCTTCGTAAAATCATTTGCACCTGTACGTTGGCTGTGGAGATACGTCTACAGATCCGAAGCAGAAATGCTACCCTGCTTGTTTGCTTATTCCTTGAGAAAATGCTGAGATTGGAGATAGATTCATATTTAGGAGATACAAATTGTGTGTGCAGTTCAAACACATTCCAATATTAAATGAGACGTTCAGGTAGCATGAACTCTGCGCGCGTGTCTTTGTGTGTATAGGCAGTAAAAAAACGACGACAGGTTTTGGTAAGAGAGATCAATGCAGTAGCCACAAACTAGGCAACAGGGTGCATTTCAGGTTCTCGGTTAAAACGAAGCAGTTTTGCCATGGACCAGGGATTTCTGGAAATAGCAGTAGTTTTTGTTTGAGCGAAGTACTGCTTGTGTTAAGAGAGCGTCATGAATTTTCTAGCACGCCTGGGTAGCAAAACTGTCAGCAAAGCGGGTAGATCTTGCAGGTCAAAGTGAATCATCCGCCACAGAAGGTTGCCTGGAGGATATATCGGCGGCCTGACCTTCTTATGTATCACCCCGTGCATTTTCTACTTGTTAGTGATGGCATGGAAATGGCTTTGTCTCTGATTTCCCACCCCACCCCCACCTCCCCAACATGAAAAGCACCCAAAACAAAACCCGGGGTGTCTCATAGAAGGGCTTCGTTGTGCTGGACGTCCCCCTTCAAATGTGCTTTCTTTTTATTGCAGATCAACAGAAAACCACAGTTATCGAAAACGGGGAGATAAGATTTAATGGGAAAGGGAAGAAGATCCGGAAGCCTCGAACCATTTACTCGAGTCTCCAGCTGCAGGCTCTAAACCACCGCTTCCAGCAGACCCAGTACCTGGCGCTTCCCGAGAGAGCAGAGCTGGCGGCATCATTAGGACTAACTCAGACACAGGTAATTTCCGGGGAAGTCCAGAGAGATCCCTGAGAACCTGGGCTCCGAGAGAAGGCCAGGCCAGGCCAAAATCAAGCAGACAAATCACTATTTCCATTGGCCAAAGGCTAGGAATAAAAGCGAAGCTCAGCTACCCAGGTCGGTGGACGGCAAAAACATGGCCAAGTATGCGTTGGTGAAATATCATTCTCTCTATTATTATTATTTTTCAAATTCAGTCTGTTTTGATGGTGCGTTGAGAAAGGTTTGAGTTCACCACTCCAGAATCTGGGCATGCATCTACTTAGTTACAGCCCAAATCTGAAGGTGGAAATAAATAAGCACTGAGGTGGAAATAAATTTATACATAAAACAAAAAGGTTGTTGGGGGGCCAAAGAAACCTCCTCCCCATCCTTTGCTGGTAGAAATGGAAATCTATTTCATACGGTGCACAGCCTCTAGGCCCGAAAAAAGCGCACCTTCCTAGTAATATTCAATAGTAAATTATCCTGGATGAGTAACTGAAATTCAGTGCTTGCCCTTAGGCGAAATGTACAAAAGGTGATGATAGAGCTGACGATCAAAGGGAAGCGTGTACAAAATTAGAGCGAGTTAAGCCACAGTTAAATGTGGTTGGTGCGTTCTGGCTTTCCCAGCAGATTTAAACCTGAATGACACACGAGGTTAGAAGGAAAACGATTAATTTGAATTCATGAATGCAGAAAGGAAGAATAATAATAATAAAAAAACTTTTTTGTGGCAGTTTGTAATCTTCCGGACAGAAAAAAACACAAAAGGGATAAACCATGTTCATTGGATTCGCTGGTGGTTGCCAGGAATGTAGGCAAAGCGGGGCATTTTGGATTTGGTGCCTTATTGTGATATAGGGGCGACCTTGAAGGCAAAAGAAGACAGGAGGTGTCTTTAAAGAGCAGCATATCACCACCACCACCACCACCACCACCACACATATTTAATGGCAATCCAAGCTTTTAGAGCACCTAAAGTGTGGTACAGAGAAAGGACACTGTCACCTTCCCAGCTGGGATGTTTGCAAAACACTCTTATTTGAATAGCACCTAGCTCTCTTACATTGCTGCAGAAGGCTTGTCGATGTCGTTGTTGCTGCTGCTGCTGCTTGTTTTGTTTTGTTTTTTAAACTTTCATTTGCTGTTTTTGTTTTATTAAATTTTCAATGTATGTAAGGCTCAGTTTTGTTGGTTTTATGCCACTGGGATGATTTCCGCGATAAGCTACAGATCACCATCTTGCTCAGGGAAGAAGATCAAGTCTCCTGGTCCTCTCCTCTCCCCCCCCCCCACCCTCACTCTACGAAATGGGCTGCTCTCTCTCTCTTCCTTTTTCTTTTGACTCACGTATTACTTCTTTGTAGGCCAAGCTGGAATCCAACAAAACTGACGCGTTTTGGGATTTAAGCCAATTTAGACCCCCCCTCCCTTGAAGGTGCAGCTGCAGACGGTTTTAGAGCCTGATCTTAAAACTCGTAAAAGTGGAAGTGGCACCCCTTCCTAAGCACATTTACTTGGAAGTAAGTCCAACTGATTTCGGTGAAAAACTTCTGAGTATGTGTGGTTAGGATCTCGCCTCGGTCCCATCGAGATCAATGGCGCCGGTGATGGCTCAGGGCTTTAGCGTTGTGGCCCTCTCCAAAAAGGACGGAGGGTTAAAGTGGGGGTGGAGGTGGGGTTTCATAATACAGAGGGAGGCTGTGGGTAGGATAGATTGCCTCCTCTGCCCTGGTTCCCCTCCCCACTCGGGGTCCTAAAACGGTAGCCGCGTCTTGACAATTATGCAGTAATATAGGCCGACGATGGGTATCATACCCATACACGCACGCAGGTTCTCAGTCTGCGTAGGTTGCCTTCAATGGACGCGTGAAGAAGAAAAAATGAACGAGACTCACGCATTGTAACTGTCCCCCCAGAAGGAAATGGCCTTTCCAAACAGTCTCAGCGCAGTTTACTTAAGCAAGTCCTAATTGCGGGTGATTCAAACAATGGCCATGGAAGCGGGGAGGGCAGATCATGAAGTTCATTCCACGGAGGGAGAAGAAGGAAGGAAGGAAGATTGGATAGACAGACAGATATAGATACATGGATGGATTTGAAACTGTCTATTTGCCTTAATTCCCCCACCCCTCCTCCCCCAGCAGACCTCTCATGCCTTCTGCCTTTCGGTTGCAGGTGAAGATCTGGTTCCAGAACAAGCGCTCCAAGTTCAAGAAACTGCTCAAGCAAGGCGGCAACCCTCACGAGAGCGACCCCCTGCCGGGCTCTGCCACCCTGTCTCCGCGGTCTCCAGGTTTGCCTCCTGTCTGGGACGTTTCAGCCTCTGCCAAAGGAGTCAACATGCCTCCCAATAGCTACATGCCTGGTTATTCTCACTGGTACTCTTCTCCACATCAAGACACAATGCAGAGACCACAAATGATGTGAACGGGGCCAAGAGAAACAGCTCGCCGGAGGAGCCGCTGTCTCCAGCGCGGCCTTGCCAAGCTGGGCGGGGGTGGGGGGAGCAGCGCAGCTCGCGGGGCTCTGGGTGAATCTGGAGTGTGTGGCAAAGGAAGACAGACTTGGGGCGGCTTCGCCTTCGCCTTCTCTTTAAACCTCAGCGATTGATCTTGAGCAGAAAGAGACCATTTGCGTCCTGGCCCACATCAGATGCTCCTCTTTGGGATATTTCCTTTGGGACTCGGAGGCACCAAACCTCTCTGGGAGTACAAGTCGAAAAGCAAAAATTTTTTACAGACTTTTCCCACCAAGTCCACGCAGCAACTTTAAAACAACAGCACACGACAAAAATAACAAAACTTATTCAATGAAAAAGAAGCGATCCTATTTTTATTCACTAAACCGAGATTGACAACAACAACAAAAAGATTGGAAAGGGAGGGGCGGAGAAAGGGTTTTTTTTTTTAAGATAATACCGTTTGGGGCGGGGGCGGGCGGGCGGAAAAACTTTTTTTTCCCTAGTTTAATTAGGACACTTCCACGAAGTAAAATCTGCATGCTTTCTCGGAGTGGAACCGGCAGCTGTGAGGGCGAATCCACTATATTCTCTCCCACATCCATGTCACTTGAAACTAAGGAAGCACCTGAAAACTGACCAGAAGTTCTCCTGCGCATGCCCCGCTGTAATGAATTGGAGCTGTGCCCTCATTCATTTCGGTGGAGCTTGCAGAAGAAAACTCCCCACCCCCTATGTATTATTGCCGCAGGAGAAAGAGAATTTGAGGGGGGGGTAGAGTAACATACATACAAACAAACAAACCCCAAAACAAAACAAAACCGCACCCCATCCTAAGGCTAAAATCTTTTTCACCCACCTGCCCTCCCTCCCTGGCTGGCAGCTCTCTCTTTCTCTCTCTCGGTCTCTCAGCTGCCTACCCAGCAACCTTGTTGTACATATTGTTGAATTTTAGTTGTATATATACTTTGTATGTTTTGTCTCCTTTCATATATAGAGTAAAAGCCACAAAATGTCAAAAGAGTCCTGCGTTACTCTATAGCTTTGGAAAGGTTATCTTCCCCCGCCTTCCCAGGAACCACCCATGTTTTAAATCCTAAATGCAGTCGTTTGAGATGTATTACTCGGCGGAACTGTCCTCTTCAGTAATCGTGCTTAGGATGGCAGCCTCGTATAGTTCACATACAGAGTACCACTGACTTTAGCAGGGCTGCTCTAGAGTAGACGTGTTCTGCATGGCCTGCCTGCCTAAGATTTATACAGACAGAATATAATATAATATAATAATGGTCAGAGATGTATGCCCATGTAGTTATCTATGCCATAGATGTACCACGTCAGTAACTAGTTAGATGCTTATGATATAACATACGCGCGTGCACCAGTCCTAACATCGCATCTGTTTTGCAACCTACCTATCTGCCCGGCTAACCAGTAAAAATTATATTGTGCAAAGGAGACTTGCTTTGGATCTGCAAGCCAATTTGCACCCTCTGAAACCAACAGCATCAAACTGGCTTCCTCTTAATCGACTTGGTTCCCCTCCGGATTCTCTGCCTCGCAGAGAGAATTCGTTGATTTCCAGAATCCCGCGGAATTTTCTTTTCCGTTTTCAACCCTGGCGACGTGAAAGCTGCCCTCGAACTGCCTTTTGGCAGATTTGGCAAAAAGTCAAGAGGTTGCCTGCTTTTGTAGGTGGCAATCCCACCAGCTTTCTCACACACTCCTCCGCCAAACAGACTACCTAACGCTGCGTAATAATGTTCCCCAGGTCTCTCTCTCTCTCTCAGCGCTCCCTGGTCCCCATTGCCGAGTCCAGGACGAATCATATCCTTCTTAGGGTGGTGCAAAGGCGAGAAATCATGCACCACGAAAAGCCCCTTTCGTCACACAAGCAGGATGCCCCATACTGCGAGAATTAATGGCTAGAGCCCTGGGCATCCTTCAAATTATGAACCTTGAAACCACTGAGCCATTTATCAGAAGTCAATGGAGATCCTCAGAGTGCTCCGTATAATGACAGCTACATACAGTCGTGCAAAAGGACAGTCACTATAATTAGACACAAAAGCCAAGACTACTTACCAATATACCAGCGCCGGTTTTTTGTTGAGCAACTTCCACGCTCAGTCAGTCTTCAGAATGGCTTAAAACCGATCAAGTCTTGTCATTTTCTACCATTCGCATTGTTACATTAGGAGGAAAAAATGTTTTCTTTTCTTCCCCCCCCTCCTCGTTCCCACTGTGAAACTTTGGGTTCAGCTCTCCCCAGGATCAATTGTGAACAAAGCCCCCAGCTGCAGTGCCATCCAATTTGAGGCAGACATTGGGGACAATTTAAGGTTTTTATCCATAAGAAGGTTTTTCCCCCCATTCTCTTAAATGCAGCCATAATTAGAGTAATTTTTCATGTAGCCCGCTGATTACAGCGTTTTTACCGTCAAAGATAATTACCTGTAATTTTCTTCCACTTTTAATACTAAAAAGCCATCTTTATTTAGATTCAGGAACAGGAAAGGCGAAACAAAAGAGGGAAATTATTCTGTTATTCATACACAAATTGCAGAGACGTAGGACCTAAAATTGAAAATTAACCAAAATTATAATGCTATGAAGAATGGAAGAGGCTTCTGAGGTACAGCTGGTTGTGGGGTTCACTGAATTATTCAGATTCGTGTTAGGGAGTGAGAAAGCTATCATACATTTAAACCGAGGGGTAGCCCCTTCCCTTTGTAGGAAGAGCCCCCAAGACTTTCTGATGAAGGATAATCCTCCCCAAACCAGTGGAACCACAGGAAAAATGGGGATGCTGCGAGCGAAGCCACAAAGCCCGTCAGATAGGATGCAGATCCCAGTTTTCAGCAACGCTTCCTGGGAAGTGAGTATCATTGAGATGAACGCGGCCTTCAGTGCCAAGGGAGTAAATATGTTCAGGATCAGGGCAGAGTTAGAGGATGGCAGGGCTCACGCTGATGAAATCAGGGACAGAGCTGTCGTGATTTTGAGTATCTTGGACGGCAGATTGAAATCCGCTGAATTTCTAGTATGTTGGCTTAACTGGAGGGGCTTGTTTTATTTATCCGGCCTTACGCATTACCTCTACCCCTGCACAACACACATACATCTCTCAAACTCCCCCCCATACACACGAGCAGTGCATCCAGGATGACATGTTAACCTTTCACGGGTTAGTTCCTCCCATTTCACTAGATCTCGAGGGCTTGGTCCACTTTTAGTCTACCATCAAAATCCGGTTCTTGGTGGGAGTTGATGAGAAGGGTCCTCGTCTGTCTCGTCTTCCCCCTCCCCATTCTTCTATCTGTTGTGTAGCAGCGCAATCCTCTAGCGGGCTCTACTCAGAAGTCAGTTCCATCGCTTTCAAATGGGACTGACTTTCAGGACTGGGACAATCGGTTCTCTCCGACTTCCTCTGAGCAGTGTATAAGGAATCGCGCGCACCCTGTCTGTGTTAAGAGCCGGAAGGACGATTTGCTCGTTTTTCAAGGGACGTTTAGATAAAGCAGGGATCGTGGAAGGTGCTTGCAGGAAGGGCCTCGGTGGCGGCGAGCTGGGGAGCCAGAAAGGTTTACCTGTCTGCTGCTGAGGGTGAGGGACGCCGACGCCGAGGCGCTCGAGAAACCGCGTCATCTATAGATAAGAGTGGGACAATTGTGCCAGAACTGAGAAGGCTTCTCAAAAAGGGGTTCCTTTTAGGGCTTCACCAGAAAACTCTTTGCAGCCAAACAGAGGACACCCCCACACCCGTAAAGTCCCTTAAATTCCTCACATTTCTAATAGTACTGATCCCACTTCCAGATAAACAGGAAGGGGTACCTGGGGAGGTAATATGGGGCGCGCGCACTGGCTTGTGCGTGTGGATAATCCCTCTTCCATTGAAATCCAAGCCAAAAGGCCCGTGTAGATCCGGATTGTTCCTGAGGAATCGGAGCCTCAAAAGCAATAAACAACCCACGCAGAACTGGAGTGTTTGTTTGTGTGTGTGTAAATGTTCTGAAGTAGAACAGGGAAAGAAACTGGCGAAACTCAGCCAGGCCAAATTTACAGCCCCTTAAACCGAGAAGAGGTTCTCCAGTCTGTTCAAGCAACCTGGATTTTAACCCCCTCACTCCCCCCCCCCGCAACACACATCCGATTCTCAGCTCCATTGGAATGAACGGGTTGCTTTTTGCGAGATGAGACCGTGAAAAGGCTCGCAGAGGAGGCCAAAGTAGAAGCAGGGCGGTGCGCCATTGAAATACATGGGATTTCTTTCCCAGTTTGGTGTGTCTCGGATAAAGTAGGAGCGGAAAGTAGAATCGGTATTTCGGCAGCCTGATTGCTGGGCTGGGTGTCTAGCTGAGCTGTAATCGACATATCCCTCTTAAAAACAAAAGGGGAAAAAACCACACACGCTTTTAAGAACATTTACCTAGGGGAAATCCCGAAGGGGGTTTCACAGCCCTATTCTTTACTTGTCTACTCCGAAACGTCCCACGAATGGGATTTACTTGTAAGTAAGCGTGCAGTATCCTTTCAGACTTAGGGAAGACGAAGCACACACACGCGCGCACACTAGCTAACACAGTGGATCAGACCACTTTCAAGCAATGGGACGACTCTGCATTAAACATGGAAACCCAGATTTCGAAGGGAAAACACCGTGGAGTATTTCTTTGTCATTCTCAACCGGGAGTTCCCAAATGGCACTTCACTGATGTTGACAACATAGCGAGTCCAACCCGCCCCCCCTCGCAACACACATTCACCGGTTCGAGACAACACCCCCTTTCCATATACACCCCCTTACTTCTGAACCTCTACGTGAGTCACTGAAAATGTGGGAATCCTGAGCCGCCCACCCAAACCGCAGAGCGTCCCCCAATAAAAGCTACAATAAAAGCAGGCAAACAAACAAGTAAATAAATAAATGTGCGTCCGTGTAACTCGCTTATCGAAAGGTCTAAGTAAGGAAAATCGAGAAATTAGAATGATCAGGGTTTCCTTTTTCTTTTCTTTTTCTTTCTTTCTTTTTTGCAATAATAAAAATAATAATAATAAAAGTAACCATCATTAAAACGTGAAGAGGTACAGCTGATGGGATATGCGGCAGCAGTCGAGGAGGTTTAAAACCGAACACAAAAAAAAACTTACCCCCGTGCAAAACCTGTTAAGCAGAGATGAGGGTCTAAGGAAATCTATAGTGGAGAGAAGCAGAGGAGAATATTTTTCTGAGTCTCGGGGCAGAAGCTCTTTCTCTATATTCTTGGTTGACTGAGCATATCCAGGTGTGAAATTGTTTGCACACCCCAGCACCTCTTATATTGCCAGCAAAATTAGCTGTTATTACTGTCACTGTTTAGTGATGGTTAGCTTGATAAAAAAAACACACCGCTGTAATCAAGACCTGGCGCATCTTTGCAAATTACAGATAATTGTAAACGTCCAGATTATGATAATAGCATCCTAATCCAGCCTGCAATATAATTATTACAGAGTGTTACATCTGAAACTGTCCAGTAGGGCTAATTCGGCCATTATTTAGACCTCTCTCTCTCTCTCTTTTTCTCTCTCCTCCTTCTCTCCTCCACTACAAATGGGTTGCTGAGCTGAAAATGTACGATTGTAATTTCACGGGGCACTCAATGAGTAATGATAGAGGAAGAGGGGGGGAGAAATACAAAAGTGAAATGTGAACGGGAGCGATCAAATCAAAATCGGGAGGGGGAGGGGGGAAAGAGCGAGAAAGAGAGAGAGAGAGCCTGGGTTGATTCTGGTGGAGGGAGGGAAGGGGGGGGAAGGAGGAATAAGAAGAGCGGGAATTAAGAACAGAGCAAATCAGGGGACTGAGGCGAGCCAGAGGAGGCTTCGTTGTGTATTCAAGGGCTGCTGGTCCACCCCCCCCCCCGTTTGTGTGTTTGTGTGTAAGCGCGCGCGTGTGTGCATGAAATCCTCCTCCCCACATCTTCTCATCTCTCTCTATTTCGCTGCACCGCCCCCCCCCCCTTTTCTCTCCCCCGGACCCTACGCCGGTTAGCGAGAAGGAAAGGGAAGAGGACGTACAAGTCCCATGCTGGAAGTGGCACAGACTGAACCATACGTGGAGCCAAATGTCACTGGCTCCGTTTTTTGTTTAAAGAGAGAAAGATCCCTGCAGGATCAGACCAAGCGCTCATCAAGGCCACTATCCTGTTTCCAACAGCGGACGGCCAGACACGCCTCCGGGAAGCACAGGAGCCGGCCATGGAAGTATTCGCTTACCACGGCTGTTTGGCCTTCAAGACCTTGATTTCCAGAAGGTATAGCTCTCTTTTCCCGGTTAGGCATCAGGGTTTGCTACAGACCACAAGGGAATTCCCTCAACCCACTGATTTTTATTTATTTATAACCAGATCCCAAGCACACTGGATTGTGGACCCATTTATCTGAAAAGGGACCTTTGCTTCCAAGAGAATATCCCTACGGAGATCGCAGGTTTACTCCGAGGGAAAGTGGCTAGGATCCGGCTGTGAACCTCTGAGGTTATGCTCTTTGTTTAAAAATAAAAGAGAGCAGTGGTAGCCGTTGTTGTTGTTCTTAGAAGACCAAATTCGATTTCATTGCGCGCTGTCTCCACATACTGAATGAATATTCCTTTATTTTCCTCGTTCGCATTTACTCATTGGACAAGCCCTTGGGAACCCCAAAGGCAATTAGCCGGGCAGGTTTTTAATTGCAATTAATTAAACCAAGCAGCCTGTAGCAGATTAATGCTCTCGTCTATTGTCTCTGGTGTCTGATAAATGCACAATGCAAACAGAGTTTGCTTTGGCTGTTCCGTACTGGAAGCATCAAAGGAGGTACTTGATACACGCGCTCTTATGCATATTCACACATACACAGCGATCCTAAGCCACTTAGACGTGGAAACGGTTGGAGAGAAATAAAGGGGGGGGGGATTATTTAGAAATTTCCTAGCAAGTAAACGCATTTCGTATCTTATTTACTAAGGAAGCGAAACACGGTTGAAATCAATAGGCCCCTTTCCAAGCAAATTTACCATCCTATCTATGCTCATTTCCCTGGGAGTAAGCCCCATTGAATCCAACGGGGCCTACTCTGAGTAGACATGAGTGGGATTGCACGGCAGTTATAGGCTGATGGCGATAGACGCAGGCGTGGCAGTAAAACGGGCAGTAGAAAGTGGATGATATAACACAGCATCGTGAGTCGTGGAACTGATTTGTGGAAAGGTCAAAAGGCTAGGTTTGGGGAAACGGGCAGAGGGTTCTGCCGGAGAATCGGTATCCCTCCCCGCAAAACTGGTTTTTGGGTTTGAACATGTGCGATCGGTAGCCCGGGAGGTGAGGAACAAAACTGGCAATGACTACTAGGCCCTCCTTTGTGCTTTGTGGACTCCAAATTCCCGGATCCGAGGAGTTTCCTTGTGTCCTTTCCCCAAACTGGCCCGCTCTTTGAGCTGCCTTCATTCTCGGATGTCGGAGAAGAGGTTCCTCGGGATGCTGGAGTGTTTGGGGTAGAGAGAAGCGGGTCCACAACCCTGCGGAAAAAGAAGAAGCGTTGCAGCTGCGGGACATGGAGAAACAGCGAGCCAACCTGTGCTTGTCTCCCCACGAGGAAGACCCGTTGAGTTCAGCCAGGACTTGCCCCCCAACAAAGCGAGGGTGTACAGGATCACAGCCACAGAGAAGTCCCGCGGAGGCCAGAAAATTGAAACGCGCTTCTGCTGCATTGATTTTCAAGAATGCCAGAGCTGGTGTGTTTCTTCTCCTCCCACCATTAAAAAAACACACACCATCCAGTGATGTCCCCCCTAGAGCACAGTTTTGTCTCGCTTTTCCACCCCTCCCACTCTTCCTGCGATCAGGTTCGGGAGAATGAAGGGTTAAAAAGAAAACCCACCGCCCGCCAGAGAACCCACATATATTGCAGACCACGAAAGCTGGAGGAAGCTGGCAAGGGGTTGTGTGTGCGCAGAATGAGCCTCTCAGCACAGCAAAAGCATTAAAAGGCTCCGAGCTTGTTAAAGGTGTTTTCATTTGGTTAAAGGTCGTAATATCTGGCATTTGGCGGCTGGCAATAAAAAACGCGCCTCGGGATTGGGGATTGGACCCCTGAAGACTTGCAGGGCTGGGAAAGATGTTTTAGGCCCCAATAAACAAGCAAATAAATGCGAAATGATGATGATCTGCGGCGATAGTGGATTTTTCAAAATACCCGCGCGCGCACGATCGATCCATCTCTCCAGGAATGACCTATAAAAGCAGGTTGTTGCATTCATACGGATTGGCTCTTTTTACACACGCACACGTGTACTGCTGCTCTGTGGAAATGTACCTTCGTGCTCTAATAGCACTCCTTGCATTTAAGGCACCACCACTGCAACGTGATAGAGGGTTGTGCCAGATATTTACTTCTATATTGAGGGGCCCAACTGCCCACGCCAGAAAAAAAAGGAGCAGAAGTGAAGCGGTGTGCGGGTCTATTCCAAAGACACAGAGCTCCGCGTTAAGAGGTGAAGAAGGCAGGAGGAAGTTCCTGAGTGAAACATCGCATCCAAACCGCAATTAAAAAGCTCTCACTTGAAGCTGAACAGATTTTAAAACTCCCAACCGAAGCAAATCCAGGGGTAACTCAACTGCTGCCAACATTCACCCGAAAACTTTTGCTTCAGTTGGGCTCCTGGGAGGAAACGGCTCGCGTTCGTCTGGCTGGGCTTTCCGCGGAGCTCTTTGGTCTAAATTAAAAGCGATGTTCGACGGAGACTACGCTTTCGCTGTGGGGTTATAGATGGGGTTTAATTAAGGTCTCCCGCGGAGGAGGTGGAGGGGGAAAGAAACAAACTGTGCAGCAACAACAACAACAAAAGCCAAATAAGAGTTTCTAAAGGAGAGTCACAGGTCAGGAAACTCATCCCCGCCATGCCAACCTGAAAGCGCGCTAGGGTGGGAGACGTGACGGAGGGCGGAGGGTGGCAGAGAGAAATCGCAAAGCAAGCAAGCGCGCCCGCGTCTCAGAGGAAGAGGCAGAAGGACAAACAGCTTCTGCAGACCCGAGATGGGGAAATTCTGTGTCTTGAGCTCCAAAGAGGTTCTCAAACTCCCATCGCCTCGGTCTTGCCCAGCTGCGCGTGGGTCGCGCTGGTGGAGCGCGCCTGACCTTCCCTTGCCCAGAGAAAGGGAGGGAGAGAGCGCGCGAGGGTGGGTGCTCCTGTGGGTGGTTTGGTGGGTGAACCCCTGGGTGGAGCTGGAGCCCAGAGGAACCAGATCAAGGCAGGCGACGTTTGCGGGCTGCTCTCTCTCTCCGGTCTGTGTCCCTCTCGTAGGCCCTTGCGGCGGAGCCCTGGAGCCATCCGGCACCCACAGGAATGCGTCTCCTTCTCGGCTCTCTCTCCCTCTCCGCCCGCCCCGCTGTGGCTCCCCAGCTCCACTTGGAAGCGAGGGCGAGGAAGGAGAGGGGAAGAAAAACTTCTTCAAAGGTTAAAAACTACCGAGGACACTTGATTATATCCTTGCCTTAGGGTGGGAAGGCACGACGGAGCGATTCCTACTCTCCAAAAAAGTATATGTGTATATAGTGTGTACATACACACGTATATACAAGCCCACATATGCACGCCTGAGTGCAGCGCCGTACATGATTACGTTTGTGCCCACAGCAACAATAGATTATGGGGAGTCGACTTCCCCAGAGCTTGACCTTGGGGACTGGGAGTTCAGTTTGTTCTAGATAGTCTCCACATCATGACACCACTGTCTGCCCCAAGGAAAGAGGGGGAGAGAGATCATGAGGACTAGCGCCATTTTTGGACGGGAGGCGGTAATGAAATCCCAGTCGTGGATACTATTGAAACCGAGCGGCGTAATGTCCACGAGCATCGAGGGCAAGATGGACCGGACCATAAAGAAAGAGGTCTTCGTTATATCACGCTGTAAAAACCTCACCCCCCCCCCAAACTAGGAGACACAGCCATATTTGTCTATAAAAATCCTTCTGTCCCCAACCAGGGCTTAACGCGCAGCAGGTTAATGAGCCAGGCACGTTGAGAGCAAAGGCAAACTCTGAGAGGAGAAGGTGATATTTGCAAGGGGGGGTGGTTCTGTTGCAAAGGAAAGAAAAAGACTGCCGAGCCGTAGGAAGGGTTATTTTAATGGAAAGTAGGCCACAGAACAGGCCAGAGTTGAACAGTAGTAGAAACAGGGAAATCCCACACTGAATGCTGAACAGATCAAACGGTGCAGGAGATATATATATATATATATATACCTGTTCTGCTAAAATAATACTCATGAAAAGCACTGCAAAAAGAGTGCGTGAGTGCATATTGAAAGAGATCTTTTTATGGGGGAGGGGAGGGTGATCTGGAACAAGCTCTCTTCTTCTCTCCCCCTCCCCCCCCCATCAAGAAAGGAAAGGTTCGGCCGCTGAGGGGGGAGAACAATGGGGCAAGGCGCGTGTGGTTTGGAGCTCCGTTTACACGCGCACACACACCGAGTCGCGCGCATTCCAAACGAACAAATATCTTATTCTAATATATATGTGCACAAGATAATGTTCCACCAAACCTATTACTGCCCCCCTCCAAAAAAATGGCTTAACGCGCTCTCTCGCTCTCTCTCTCTCTCTCTTTCTCTGTCTCCAAATTAAATTAGAAGGGGAGACCAAAACCGAAAGAGGAGAAAGAAAGGTGGGGGATGGGAGAGAAAGACAGAGACTACCAGAGACAGGTAAATTCGCCCGAGGCTACAAAGCGTGCCTTTTCAGGTTTTTGTTTCCAAACCCTGGAACATCTCTTACTGAAATCAGCAGATGACAGGATGTAATTTTTATGGTGGTGTTTTGGTTTTTTTAAAGTTCTAACCCTCTTTCTTTTTTAACAATAACAACATTAAAAAAAAAATACAACCCAACTGTTATTCTTCGCTGCTGTATCTCCTGATATATTACTTCCTACTTACAGACGGCGTCAGGGTTCCCAATTCATTTTAAAATATTTTTTAAAACCAAAAGGTGCTTTTTCCAAGCCTGCTCGGAACCCTTTTCTTATTTGCTCCTGGGCCAAGCGGAGATCCGGAAAGACAAAATAATTTTTGGGTGGGGAAACAGGGGGTTCGTTTTGTTTTCCAGTCCGTACGGGGGTTGGGGAGAGAAGCCAGCTATCTCGTCTCTCCCTTCGAGCATTTTGCTTCCATCCCGCCACGCCGGGACACAGAGGGCTGCTATGCCACGTGTGGATGGCCACACGGGGTCCCTCCTCCTTTCCTCCCCATTCTCCGGTCGCCCTCGGGTGGCTCGCCCGGAATTTAATTTCGGGATTGAGTTGGAGGAGGGTGCGGAGTTTCGGCGAAGAGGAGGAGGACGTCAGGAGCGAAGGAAAAGATAATGATCGCCTTCGCCTTTGAAAGGGCTCCTCGGCTAACCACCACCCAGCCCCCGTTTTGCAGATCGCCTTTGTGTTCCCAACCCGGGGAAAAATCGAGATGGGAATCGAGATGGGAGGGAATGGTCAACATTTTAGTCTTCTGCCCTGCTTAGCAGCTTAAAAAAAAAAAAAAAGCAAATGTAATTTGTATAATTAGACGATGGGATGCTGGCTTTCTCCCAGATAATTGCTTTTATAGTAGAGAGAAGCACACAGAGCGATTTGCAACCCCCCCCCCCGCCACTTCCCAGCGCTTCTTTTCATCTCCAGATCATTTTCGTTCGAGGGTTAGTAGCTTTTTGTATAGCTGGGGTGGGGGAGGGGGAGGTTATGATGGAGGCTTTAAAATAGGGATGTTATAGGGGGGAGTTATTTTGTACGTGCCGGGTTCTATAAGCCCAGTCCAGCATTTTAAACGACTACCCAGCCTTACAGGTAAATTGGTGAGCCGAGGATCGGGCCATACGGGGCAATCTTCCCCCCTCCCCACAAATAAAATGAATCTAAAAGATGGAGCAAGGAGTCTGAGATAACACACAACCTGCCCCCCCCCCCCAGCTAGTCCCTTTGACAAACGGAGAGAGGGGAAACCCGTCATATTTTTCCTCTTTCTCTTCTCCTGTTCTCATGGTGGAAATAATTTTATTTATTCAGAATATACAGTTTAATTCCTTCTATCTACACTTATGTACAGGGTTAAAATGACATTGTTGGGAAGGGAAAATGAAAGTCTCTGGGGGGAAAAGGTTGAGGTCATCAGATTTCTCAAGGCACCTTTGAAAGTGTCCACAGTTGATGAAGTAAAAAATAAGCCACCATTCATTCCCCCCCCAAAAAAAACAACAACCCCAAAGTCCGTCTGTGTCTTTTTTTGTTTGTTTGTTAAAAAATCAAAAAGAGGGCGGAGAAAATTTCCTTTGAAATGCAATAAGTTACATGCAGGAGCTGTACACATTTCATCTTGTATAGTGTTTTTTTCCCCTTTCCCTGAAAAAAAAGGAAAACCCGAAACAAAAAACAAAACAAAAAAGGGAGTCAACCATATGCATTTTTTTCCTTTTATCAACAAAACGCCAAGTGTCCAAAAAAAAGGAAAGAGTTTTAAAACGAGGAAAGAGGGTTTTGTTTTTTTTAAAAAAAGAATCCTATTCTAGTAGATTGTCCCAGAAGCCAGAGCTAAGGGGTGCTGTAGAGAGCCGTGGGGCTGCAGGTGACCACTGAGAGCGTTACCGCTGGAATACCAGGACGAGGAGTTCTCCAGGTAAGTGGCGGCGGGCGACGGGTTGGAGTTGGCCCCGTGGGCGTGGGGATGGTGGCTCAGAGACCTGGCGCTGCCCTGCGGTTCCCACACGGCGGGAGACTGCGGGGAGTTGCAAGCCATGGGGTCGCTGGCGCTAGGGCTGTGCTCCGGGGGCATCTCGCCATTCTTCATGATCTTTTTGATCTTCGATCTTTTGTTCTGAAACCAGATTTTCACCTGAAGGAAGAGGGAGGGGGGGGAAAGAAGAGGGAAGTGAAGGAAAGAAAGAAAAAGAGGGAAAGAAAATAAATAAATGGGTGACAAGAAAGAAGGAAATAAACCCATTTTTTAATAAAACAACCCACGGACGTTTATTTGGACGCCTTGATTTCATTCTCGTTTTTGCTTCAAAAGCACAAGGAGGTCTCACTCTAAATCTATGCGTGCCCTGTGCGCGCAGGTCAGTCCGGGGGGCTGCGATGTGTTGGACTCCCAAGGAAACGATTTCCATGGAAACGGCAGGGACGGTGAAACAGGCCCCGAGGATTCAAATGGCACTTGCAAGGCGATCCTAGAGGGGAGCCGCCAGCAATGGAATCAAGGAAGATCCCAGAGTCTAGTTGCCCCATCTACTTTAATATTTACAGTAGGGATCATCATGAGCTCACATGCTAGATCGGGCCTCTCTTGGGCCACCAGAAAAGCAGGATCTGGACTCTGAGGATGCTAAAACCCAGACACTCCTTGGCCTCTGATTTTTGGGACATCAGGCCTGCCCCCCCCCCAAAAAAAACCCCTGCGGCAGCTGCCTAAGGGATTTCTTTTTTAAAAATTAATATTATTCTCAATTAAAGAAAAGCAAAAGGAACAAAGGCTAAAGCGGGGCGGGGAGCCTCGAGGACACGACGGCTGTCTTGATTATGGTCTGCCAAGGACCAGCAGCAGATCCTAACTCCTACATTACTCAGTGGGTGAGTGCGCGCACGAGTGCTTTTGTTCTCGCTGCAGTCGGTTTTGTGTTCCCAACGCAACAGCCTCCCCACACCCGCCCCAGCGCAACAATACCAGCCCAATCCCGAGATAACCTGCTTTTACACAAAAGACTCTTTTCCCCCTTTGCACCGAAATGGTCTGACAAGCAGCCCCTCCCGGGTCCAGCTGCACTTTGCAAGCTCCTAACGCAGGAGATCCACCCACGTGCGGTTTCTCTCCCCCCGCATCCCCCTCCGCTCCAATCTTTTGTGCGACAAGATCGAGAGAGAGAGAGCGAAAGCCTCCAGCTACAGTTAAAAGAGACACAAAACAAAAATACTGCGCGTCGTCAACAGGGCGAGATGGAAGGCAGGCTCACGGTCTTCTCCGCCGCAAGCCGGTGCGCTTTCGCAATCCGCGAGCCTGGTGCGCACTTGAAGATCTCTCTCACCCGATCCTCACCAAAACAACTGACCCCCGCCACCCCACCCCGCCCAACCCGGCCCCATCGGATTCAATCTCATAAACTTTTCTAAAAAGTAAGCAAATGCTTGCGTGGGAGTTAAAGGCCACTGCAATCTTGCAAGCAAGATTTGGGGACAGAGCTAAAGAGAAAGGCACCGCAGAGCAAAAAGGGAAGGAAGCAGCAGCAAAAAACTCCTGCACCGTGCGCCCTCTTGGCCTTACCCCAAGGTACAAAAAGAGAAATAACCCGAATTTGAGTGTGTATATCTATACATTCTGTATACAGGAGCCAGGGAAATAAGGCCCCTCAGAAACATACTTTAGACTCTTCCTCCAGCAGGAATTCTTGCAAAGAATTTACATAGTATTTATGTCCAGGGAACGGGTGGGTCCCGCTCAAGTAGGAATTATTGCGAAGGATCTGGATAGTTTTTTTATGTCCAGGGTCGCCCTTCCTTCCCACCTGGCCTTACCTGTGTCTGCGTCAGGCCTAAAGACGCGGCCAGCTCGGCTCTTTCCGGCAGGGCTAAGTACTGGGTTTTCTGGAACCTCCTCTGCAAGGCCGCCAGCTGAAAACTGGAGTAAATAGTCCTTGGTTTGCGCACTTTCTTTGGTTTGCCGTTCACCATCCTCACCTCCGGCTCAGCCACCTCTTTTTCTAAACAATCGGAGCGGGGAGGAAATCAGAAAGGAAGCTTAGAACTGGGGCAGAGGACGCCAGCGGCAGAATACAGGAAGGAGCCCGCACCTAGGTGGGCAGGCCAGGATCGCAGCCCTGACCCCGACGTGGCGGCCGCGAAGTTGACAAACAAGCGCGAGAGACCCCTGGAAAATTGGGACGTGGGAGGGCGGGGGGAGAGGGAAACTGACCTGGTAGGAACAGCCGTCGTGACTATTTCTTGCAAAGGGAAGATTGTTTGGAGTGCTTCTATGTGTTAGATGGGAGTGAGTGAGTTTGAGAGAGGATATAAACAGCACCCAGGTTGCTACCGAAATATTATTTTATATTTTATTTCCCCATGGGGCATTTGGCTCCTCGGTTTTCGTAAAAGAGAGAGAGGAAGGGACCCAGGTTAGATTTTACCATTTTGTCTTCCCGTAATAAAAAAACCTAACAAGCAGCAAAGTTCCCGGGCGTCTTTAGGTCACAATCCAGTGTCTATTGATTTTTCATGCATGGAAACAAGCAGACAGTCTCCCTCTTCCTCTCTCCATTTGAATGGAAGCCTCATGAATTCAGTCCAGCCCAAGCTCTGCAGACTAGGGACACGCAATTTTGAGGTCTAGGGAGTTCAAAGGCCGCATCGCCACAAGAAAACGGTTCTCCTCCGTTTCAGCCGAAAGTAGCCAAATCCGGCCCAGACAGAGAGCCGATTATTCAGAATAATCTCGCCGCCGATCGGGGGTTGGTGGGAGAGAGAGGGAGAAGCGGCACAGATGCGTCTGGTTCCTTTTACAAATACTTAACGCGCCACTGGCATTTCCCCTCGCCTTTGATGGGAGCGACAAACAACGTATCTCAAGAAATGTACACTCACGCGCAAGCAGGAGAGGCAATAGGGCGAGGGGGTGGAAGCAAAAAATATTTCTCATTCATATATTTTCAGACTATATATATATATATATATATAGTCTGAAAAATCAGAGAGTTTGAAACACAGCAAAACATGGATTTGAGAGGCTTCGTGCATTCAGCTGAAATTGTTCCGGGATCGCATTGGATAAGTCTGTTCCACAACGGTGTTTTTGTTTTGTTTTTTAAATGAAGGGGGGGCATGGAGGAGAGACGAGGATTTGAGCTGTTCCTGCCTAGCCCTGGATTTCCCTGAGTTTGCTTCTTGTGGAACCCACACGGAAACAGTTTAACCGCGCGTCTCCGTGTGTGGGATTAATCCCTCATTCCATTTTGGAAGCTAATATTAGCAAGACTCTTCGGGCGAGGGCTGTTTTGGTGGGGGAGGGAGGTGGGGAGAAAGAAAGAAGCCACAAGATCAGATCCTTCCCCTTCCCTCTCCCCACACGTTTGCTGTGTTTCCCCCCCAAAACTCGGCCTGTCTTCGCGGGGTGCCGCCGACGTCGCCCTGCCCTTTGCAATAAAAACTTGTGTGCGGGAGGGTAGAAATCTTGCCTACCCCCTCCCCGCCACAGCTACTTACCGTGGCTTTCTATTACTGGGAAGGGACGCACACACACACACACACACACACACACACACACACACACTCAATGTCGGAGCCCCTGTTCCCATTCCTCTCAATGTATTGCGTCCCAGTCCGGAGTTGGAGACAACAAAGAATCCAGATTGAATGGTTTCTCTTTCCGCCTCTCTCTGGCTTTTCAACCGGGAACGAGGCATAATTTTTTTGCACGAAGGAGAGGCTGTGAACCTCCTTCGTCGCCCCCCAGCCCAGATTTGGGGGGGGGAATCGGGTGGGCTGGGGGTCAAACTGTCCCCGTCACCAGAAGGGTCCTGGGTGACTCCCAGATCGCGAGGAGGAGACCCCTCCTCGGGCATCTTCCTAGCCATCCGCCCCCGCCTCCAGCCCTCTCCCCGTCGGCGCCTCTCACCTGGCTGGCTGGCTGCGCTCTGCGCCCGGTTATACGCGCCGCCGTACTGGTGGTAAGGGCTGGCGTAGCTGTAGTCTGCATAGGCTTTGGCTGGGTAGCTGGCGGCGGTTCCGTTCATGCCCTGGTACTGGTACTGGTAAGGATGGAGCGCTTTGCCGTAGGAAGCCGACGAAGGCGAGCAATAGCCGTGCGGGGCTCCTCCGGGGGAATTGTAATAGTCGGGGTCCGTGGCGGACGACTCGGGCAAAGTGGGAGACTCCTGCGGCGGGTGCCCGTGCATGGTGGCTGCAGCCGTCTGAAAAGGACCTTGGAAGTCTCCGGATCGGATGGCTGGCACTCTTCTGTCAAACACTCCGGTCATAGTAGTTGGCGAGGCAGCAAGCAGGCGGGCGGGCGGGCGGCTGGGTCTTCTAGGCAGCCATGGCGGGGGGAGGGACCGAGGGAGGAGGCGGAGGAGGCGGCGGCGGCGGCGGCGGCGGCGGCTGGGAGCTCTCTGGGGCTGGCTCTGGCTCTGGCAGACTGCTCGCAGGGAGCGGAGAGGCTTGGTTAAATCCTTAATTGCGCTCTTACGCACAGCGGGGTGGATTGGGTTCCATTGGCCAGAGCACTCCGGAGCAGCAGCGACACCCTAACTCGTCCAACTAGTTTAGCACAACAAAGCGCTCTGCTTTTTTCATTCTTTCCCTTTTTTTAAAGTTCCATTCAAGCGCCTTAAAAAAAAAAAAAAAAAAAAAAGCAATACGAGCAGCACCATTATCTCGGGGTTCTCTTCTCCTAGCCAGCAAGGATGAGAATTTTGGGCGTTAGGGAAAAAGAAAAGAACCGTCGAAGTTTGTGCAATAGGAAAACGGAGGTGCATCAAGCGTCTATATGTGTGAACGCGTGACACTCGTGTTTCAAGATGCAGATGCAGAGGAAGGCTGACAAAAGGGGGCTTAGTCCAGGGGTGGAAAGATGTTGGATGTTCTAGGAAAGTCCCAAACTTCTCAGACAACCAGCGTTCCCTGACCAGGGGATTTATGGGCAATTGTTAAATAGGAAGGTTGCAGCTTTTCAATAACGCATGTGCTAGGATATAATGGCTGTAGAATGCAAATAGGGCTGAATCCGGGTTTGTACTCAGCCATGGATAACACTGGTGAAAGCTTTTGAACCTGTCCCTCAGTTTTCCCGTCTGCAAAATGGGGATAAGAAACCTGGCAGATCTCTCCCAGATCAAAGAGCTCTGTAGCCTACAAATGCTCAACAGACGACAGTTAGTGACAAATAATCATGACAACATATTGGGGATTCAGACCCCACTGGAGTCTTTGGGATGAGTGCTCCGGATTTCCACAGGGAAACTTCTGAAATAAAATCAAGGCTAGATGGAGACCGTGTTCTGAACAGAATGCTCTGCTATACTAGTCTGTGCCTTAGAATGCAACATGCGCGTTGTCTTGTAAGTAAGCACCATTTACTTAGGTGGGACTTATTTCTGAAGGAAGCACGCATGGAACCTAGCAATATGCGATGTAATGTACTTCGGGATCCCTCCTCCGAATATACAAGCCCCGAGTAGCTTACAGTATTGGGAAAAAGTGTGTGTATTGGCAGGCCAACCGATAACAGCATGGGGCCTGTGGAGAAGTGGCTAAAAGCGACCAATATATGAAATATCACCCTACAGTCCTTGAATCGCCCCCTTTGACACAGTAATTGAACACCGGGAGAGGAAGGGAACCATTCAGGACCTTCTCAACCCTCTTCCAACAAGTGAAATGCACAAGACGACCCACAACATAACCTTCCTTTCGCTACGGTTTGAGCAAGATTGCTGAATACAAGGTGTGTCCCCCAGGAAACCTGTGTGCGCCGCGCGCCTGCGCATTCAGTGGCAATGTTTCATTGAGAAATATGTTCAACCGGGACTTCGAGGCTAATTATCCCAATAGTCTTTCTCTCCTCCAGCTCCCACCCCTCAGATTCATACTTTTTTACTGCCTCCGGCACACCACACCGTGAACTGAATATCCCAGCAGGGCTGGATGTATCTCTGAAGAATACGCGTTAAACCCAGTGATGGGGAAATTGTCACCTTCCAAACGTCGCTGGACTCCCATCAGCCCCAACCAGCACGGCCAGTGGTCAGGGAGGATGGGAGTTGGAGTCCATCAACATCTGGAGGGCCTCAGGATCCCCTACCTCCAATTCATGTTCATAGTCTCATTCATTCGTTTAGGACAGGGATGGCACGCTCAGGCCATTTGTTTGGCTCGGAGGGCCACATTCTCTCCTGGGCAACCCTTTGGGGGGCCGGATTCCAGTGTGGCCAAGGTAGGCGTGGCCAAACACACACTCTCCACCTGCCATCTAGGCTAGCTAGAGGGATCGTCATAATATAAGGAGATAGGCCAGCCAGGTAGGGTGCAGAGCAGATCCAGTGAGGCTGAATCCCAGGGCCGGATGGTGAGGTCTGGAGGGCCGCATCATGCTTCTCCCCGGGTTTCTCATCTCTGGAGGGGAGAAACCCAAGGAGCATCTCTTTCCCCCAGAAATAACTCCGAACGCCTTTCAGAGTCTCTTGCGGAGGAGTGGGAGACAGGAGGGAGGAAGGTAGGAAGGGATGAGGGTTTTTCTTTTTTTTCACTAGGCATCAGGCAGGCAGACAAATCCAAGGCTGTTTTTCAGTGGCCTGGAGTTGTCGCTTTTCCTCCAGGCTGTTTACCCTCCAGATTTAGACTGTTTGCTCACTCAAGATCTCGTAGCCAGCTGGGTAACTCTTGCGACTCTACCGTGTGTGTGTGTGTGAGTGTGTTGGCTTCCAGCGTGTCTGTTTGCTTTGGAAATGGCCGCAGCTCTTATAAAATCACATTAAGCAAATCCCTTACAGTTTAATTATAGGAATCACTTTACCCAAATCAATGGCAAATAACTTTTTTTTATAACACACACACACACACACACACACACACACACACACAGATGGGTGGAAGCGGGGTCCATTCACGACTGGTTTGGTAGCGACGGTGTTGTATGAAAATGCCCACTTGTCAGTCGTTGAGTAGGAACGATGGTCTTTTGAAAGGGTGCGTATAGGCAGGAGAAGGGTCAAGAAAATCGCCAAGGCCATAAATCAAGGCCGAGGAGGCCCTTTGCTAGACTCCAGCTTCCGCCATTCCTGTCACCTCTCCAAGTGATGTGTATTTGAAGAGGCCTGGAGGAGAGCTGCCATGGGAAGCCTGAGACAAGAGAGACAGATCGAAGAGACACCCACCCCAAGAATCTACAGTTCCCTGGACCCTTAACAAACTACAATTCCCAGGATCATTGAGGTGGGATTGGACGTGCTTTAAATGCACAGTGCGGGATAACAGCCTACATAGACCTGGGAAAAGTTACTGTTCAACCCGAGCTATAGGGCGTCTGCTGCCTTCGTCGTCTTTGCGAGATGTGCCTCGTTTAATCCAATCGATTCAAAGCACAGCATCTCTGGCTACTTCACTCCCAAGGACTGGAGCTTCAGTCCTGTCGATCGTTTCAATGCACCCCACCTTCGGACACATCTGCTTGGAGATAAGCCCCACCGATTTATGGTTTTAGCATGCCAGTCCCAAATCAATTTCAGATTAAACCTGTAACCTTACTGGAGCAGTAAACCCCAGTTGATAAAAGAGGACTTCCTCCCACGTAAAACGTTGTATTGAATCGTGCACCGATTCAGAATAGCGTGGTGCTTTGGTCACGCCGTAGAAGTAGGCTGCAATCCTGCACACACTTTCTTGGAAAGTAAACCCCGTTGAACTCGGTGGGGCTGAATTTTCGGCGAGAAGGAGCACGATCTGGGAGTTTCATTAGGAGCTGCTCCGGATTAAGTGTAGTCATTTGCAATAAATTACTTGGATAGGGATTCCTGTGTAAGGATTAGAAGTTTGATTTGGTTTTTAGATTGAATGAAAGCGGGGAGCCCATCAAGCGATGATGTTGAGATGCTTGATTTGACACGTGTAAGCCACCCTTCCCTGTCCCAGTCTCTCTCCATCCTCCCCACCCGATTTCTGGACTCTCTCCTTCGCTGGTTTATATTTGGCACATCCGGAGCGGAGAGCCCAGGGAGCGTTCAGCAAGAAAGCCGGAGCCGGTTTGGTCCGTGCACAATCTGCTCATTGTTTAGGGCTCGGGGATCCGGGACCAGGGAGGTGGGGGGTGGGGGCGGTCGGCTGGCTGGCTGAAGTGGTCACGGCAGGAGCCTGTGGCGGCGGCACTCGGGTTGGAAAAAGCCTTCAGCTCAACCCCAACCTCAACCTCGTGTTCTGCTGAGCTTGGAGTTTCTTGCAGCAGCCGCCTCTCCTTGCTACAAATAAGGATGCCGCGCGGGGCAGGAAGGAACCTATGTGCCATCCCAGCGGCATGACACGTAGGAAGAATGGGAGTCATTCTTTTCCTTGGTCTTTTTTTGGAGAACTTCTGATTTCCAGCATCACCAAAGGCAGCTGAAGTCTTTACTAGGAGTGCCATCTTGTGGCTCAGAGGCGCGCTGCTCCGCGAAGGAGTCTGGAGAAGGGGCCGGAAGTTGGGGACTCAATCCGGGCGCAGGTTTAAAGTAGCCCACGGAGACCCTCGCAGCCCTGCTCTGCGTGCAAGTGTTGCAGGTCGGATCCGCAGGACCCGGTGACGGCCTGGTCAGGTTAAACAGAACCTCGCGCAATTGCATGGACCAGCAGAGCCATAGGAAAGGCCGCTTCAGCTTATCCTTCTTCCCCAGAAAGGCAGGACGCAAACCATCAACTCCCAAGAACAACAACAATATATGGGACACCAGAGAAGATGCTGTAACGTGGAGTGAGGTTTCAGCCGCTCCATTATGCCCCCTCTCTGTGCAGCTGCCTCCCCCCAGCTCTCACCCACCCGCACCAGCCAGTCAGCTTTCTGTAGTCTCTGAGCCTGCTCATTCTTCAGGAAGCTGCTCCTGGTTTCAAGTCCCCCATCCTGGCAACACACACACACCTACAAACCATGGGCATTTCCAAGGCTGCTGCTGTCTGCCCGCAGTTGTGGGTGAGTGGTGCTATTTTGGCTACAGAAGCAACATCAGGGGTGCCAGCAGGGCCGGATTTAGGTCTGATGAGCCCCTAACTTGCTACTGAAGGTAATGGGGCCCTTTATATTTCCAGCTGTCCTTTGTCAACAACAAATTGTTGCTTTTTTGTGTTGAATATGTGCTATATGGTAATTGATGGACCTAATAGGTATCTAAAGCCATTTGCACATAACAAAATATGTATTTTATCAAAGTAATTGTTGAACTGAAATACAATTAAGAAAAAGTATATTAATAGTGAAATACAATAAAGAAGTATATTAACAGTGAAATAATTATTCGCTGTGGGTAAAACCTCAGTGCCTAGGACTTGCCGATCGTATGGTTGGCGGTTCGAATCCCCGCGGCGGGGTGAGCTCCCGTCTTTCGGTCCCAGCTCCTGCCCACCTAGCAGTTCGAAAGCACCCCTAAGTGCAAGTAGATAAATAGGTACCGCTTTATAGCAGGAAGGTAAACGGCGTTTCCATGTGCTGCGCTGGTGCTGGCTCGCCAGAGCAGCTTCGTCACACTGGCCACATGACCCAGAAGTGTCTCCGGACAGCGCTGGCCCCCGGCCTCTTAAGTGAGATGGGCGCACAACCCTAGAGTCGGACACGACTGGCCCGTACGGGCAGGGGTACCTTTACCTTTACCTTTAACTGTATGTAGGTTTATTTTATTTGTTTTTTATCTTATATTTTGGAAATGTACATCCAGTTTTTTCCCCCCTTCAGATTTTTTTGGGACCCCCAAGAAAGTGGGGCCTTAAGCTATAGCTTGTTTAGCTTATATGTAAATCCAGCACTGGGTGCCCGCTTGAATAAAATATTGGGGGGGGGCGGGGGTAGGTAAGCTCCACCCCACATTACCACATGACATGGCACACTCACCCCATTTGTCTGGCAATGCCCATCAACTTCGGGAGGCCCCGGGCCCCTCAAATATTTTATTAGGGGGAGGCCAAAGTGACCTCGGCCCCTCAGAGTTGGCTCCTATGGCAACGGCACTCACTGGGACGGCTGGACATGGCACTTTCCCGGCACCCATCCTTTTGGCAGACCAACTCTGCATGTCAAAGATGTCTGTAACCGTGACATGAAGACTGGCAATATCAACCCTGTAATGTGGGAATCCCTTGCAGATGACCACAGAGCTTGGAGACAGGATCCATATCAGCGACCAGAGGAGGAATGACTGCTGGGAGGAGGGCAGAGAGAAGAAACTGCTGCCACAAAACATGTCTCTTCCATATTGGTCTCAACAGCCACAGCAGGCACTGTAACCTTCCAACAGTTTGACTTCACCCCCAAAGGCACACTCCTCCATTGTCTCCGGAGCACACAGATGCCAAGAGACCAAGTTACATACTGGCCAAAAGTGGGCAGGTCCCTGCCTCCAAGGAGCTTACCATTTAAACTAGACAATGGGAGAGGGAAATGAGGCAAGGCAGGGAGGGGATACTGAGAAAGTTACATATGTACAGTTAAAGCACACTGTTGCCCTTCTGAAACAAAACTGCCTTTTTGTGGCAGGAAATGCATTGAAAAGTGTAGAATGAATGGATGATGAATGCAAAGATGTATAAGCACCCTGCCAGCAAAATCAGGGTGTGAATGCTCACCTAACCTCTCCACAAATGAACTGAAACACATTCTCAATAATGACCAGACCTAGAGGGCCTTCTCGGTGGTGGCGCCTGCCCTGTGGAACACCCTCCCATCAGATGTCAAGGAAATAAACAACTATCTAACTTTTATAAAACATCAGAAGGCAGCCCTGTTTAGGGAAGTTTTTAATGTTTGATGTTTTATCACTTTGATGATGATGATGATGATGATGGGAGCTACCCAGAGTGGCTGGGGAAACCCAGCCAGATGGGTGGAATATAAATAAATTATTATTATTATTATTATTATTAATTTCTTACATTGGTTTGAGACACCCAAATTAGGCAATTTCTTGTTAAAATGCAAGCAGAAATGAATCTCTCTCCCGTCCCCAGGAGCCAGTGAATGTATAAACCAAAGGGAAGGGAAGAGAGGAGAGCCTGGTCACTGAGCAACAGGCTTCAGATGAGAGCTGGAGATACTGAGGCAAAGCAGGTGCTGGAGTGGAGACAAGCATAAAAACAGTAAAAGGCAAATGACCCGTAAAGGAGCCCTCCCTTTGCTCAGCAATATTTAATTGGTAAAGAATGGGCATCCCTGGAAGTCACTTCTTTTTGAATTTGGTAGCCTTCCACACTCTAATGTGACAGACTATGGCTTTTAGGACAAGGATGGGCAGAAAAGGTGGAAATGGACATCCTGGTTGATCTCTGGGTGATTTGCACTAGATCCACAAGGATTTCTGACTCCTGATAGTTTTAACAATTGCAAAAACATTTTCCCCTTTCACACTAACTTACCTTGCTGAAATGATGAAAACTTGGCAGTGGTTTGCCAGGTGACAGAACAAAGAGCTTCGTTCAATTTTGGTAAGGTAAAGGTACCCCTGACCGTTAGGTTCAGTCACAGACAACTCTGGGGTTGCGGCGCTCATCTCGCTCTATAGGCAGAAGGAGCCGGCGTTTGTCTGCAGACAGCTTCCCAACGCAGATCCTGCAAACCTGATGTCTGCCCACCTCTTTTTAAAGGATAGTATCAGGTTCTGGGGTAAATCCTTAGTGCAAATTAAGGAACTCCCCCAGTCAGTGAGCTATGTGTTGTCCTCTTGCGTCTTTTGATTTGTGGGGATTTCCTATTCTGTTAGAGGGCGATATTTTTAAAGAGAAAAAACACACAAAAGGGGGGAAAGCTGAATAAAAGCAAAATAAAAAAAGCTCACATTTACAATACAGTACCCAATTTACACCTATAGTTGGATATATGCAATTCAAATGTCCAGATAGGATCCAAACTTAATTGATGGTGAGTACCTTTCCAGGCTTGAAGTGTAAGTCTCTTAGTGACCATAAGTAAAACCCATTTTTGTTGCCCAGCTGTTAGTCCCCACACTACTGTACATCAACACCCACAAATACCAAAGATTCTACCAAATCAAGATTAACACATACAACAACTTCAGACCAAAAAGGAGATACCAATAGATTCAAATGATATACAAGGTGGAGAATTATCCCAAATAAACTTCTGAAAATAACACACGAATCTTTTGAAAATATGCTCAGGGAATGTGTAGTCAAATATGATTCAGTACATATATTACTTCTGGCAGTTCATTAATCTTAAGTGTGTTGACCTTAATACTAAGCTTAAGGAGGACACACCTTTCCACATCAATGGAGATTCCTTTTATTAACTTATTTACTGTATATCTAATATAATCATATGAGAAGTATTTGTAAATCTGTGAGTAAGTCCTTCATAGCCTGTGAACCTTCCACCCCATCGTAAATTAATACAGTGGTACCTCAGGTTAAAATTTTAAAAGAGGATGCTGTTAAGGTGCTACATTCAATATGCCAGCAAGTTTGGAAAACTCAGCAGTGGCCAGAGGATTGGAGAAGATCAGTCTACATGCCAATTCCAAAGAAGGGCAGTGCCAAAGAATGCTCCAACTACCGCACAATTGCACTCATTTCACATGCTAGCAAGGTTATGCTTACAATTCTACAAGGCAGGCTCAAGCAGTATGTGGACCGAGAACTCCCAGAAGTGCAAGCTGGATTTAGAAGAGGCAGAGGAACCAGAGACCAAATTGCAAACATGCCCTGGATTATGGAGAAAGCTAGAGAGTTCCAGAAAGACATCTACTTCTGCTTCATTGACTATGCAAAAGCCTTTGACTGTGTTGACCACAGCAAACTATGGCAAGTTCTTAAAGAAATGAGAGTGCCTGATCACCTCATCTGTCTCCTGAGAAATCTCTATGTGGGACAAGAAGCTACAGTTAGAACTGGATATGGAACAACTGATTGGTTCGAAATTGGGAAAGGAGTACGACAAGGCTGTATATTGTCTCCCTGCTTATTTAACTTATATGCAGAATTCATCATGTGAAAGGCTGGGCGGAATTAAGATTGCCGGTAGAAATATCAACAACCTCAGATATGCAGATGACACAACCTTGATGGCAGAAAATGAGGAGGAATTAAAGAACCTTTTATTGAGGGTGAAAGAGGAGAGTGCAAAATATGGTCTGAAGCTCAACATCAAAAAAATGAAGATCATGGCCACTGGTCCCATCACCTCATGGCAGATAGAAGGGGAAGAAATGGAGGCAGTGAGAGATTTTACTTTCTTGGGCTCCACGATCACTGCAGATGGTGACAGCAGCCACGAAATTAAAAGACATCTGCTTCTTGGGAGAAAAGCAATGACAAACCTAGACAGCATCTTAAAAAGTAGAGACATCACCTTGCCAACAAAGGTCCGTATAGTAAAAGCTATGGTTTTCCCAGTAGTGATGTATGGAAGTGAGAGCTGGACCATAAAGAAGGCTGATCGCCGAAGAATTGATGCTTTTGAATTATGGTGCTGGAGGAGACTCTTGAGAGTCCAATGTACTACAAGAAGGTCAAACCTCTCCATTCTTAAGGAAATCAGCCCTGAGTGCTCACTGGAAGGACAGATCGTGAAGCTGAGGCTCCAATACTTTGGCCACCTCATGAGAAGAGAAGACTCCCTGGAAAAGACCCTGATGTTGGGAAAGATGGAGGGCACAAGGAAAAGGGGACGACAGAGGATGAGATGGTTGGATAGTGTTCGCGAAGCTACCAGCATGAGTTTGACCAAACTGTGGGAGGCAGTGGAAGACAGAAGTGCCTGGCGTGCTCTGGTCCATGGGGTCACGAAGAGTCGGACACGACTAAACGACTAAACAACAACACCTCAGGTTAAGTATTTAATTTGTTCCGGAGGTCCGTTCTTAACCTGAAACTGTTCTTAACCTGAAGCACCACTTTAGCTAATGGGGCCTCCTGCCGCCGCGCCGCCGCTGGAGCACGATTTCTGTTCTCATCCTGAAGCAAAGTTCTTAACCCGAGGTAGTATTTCTGGGTTAGCAGAGTCTGTAACCTGAAGCTTATGTAACCCGAGGTACCACTGTAATGCTACCTCTGGACTTTCGGTCAGCTTTAACCCAGTGATTTCTGTTATCTCCTTAATTACCCTTTGCCAGAAAAATTGAATATATTTACACCCCCAGCACATGTGAACATAATTTATGGTTTCCTGGCATCCCCTCCAACATAACACCAAATATTCCTTCTTTATTTGATTTAATCTGACTGGTGTTAAATACCATCTCCAAACTAATTTATAATAATTTTCTTTTATTCTTATAGAGGTTTTGAACTTTTTAACGTTCTCCGCCAGACTGCTTTCTTCTCGGTCTCTATCACAGCACCCTTTTTATTTTCCTGACCTCATTCCTACATGGTATTTAGACTTCATTAGAATACCATAAGGCTCCATGAGGGCTCTGGGAAGCTTAGCTATTTGGCTAAAAGAGTACCGGCACATTTTTATTCATGCCTACTCTGAAACCAGTCCTTTGATTCCAATAGAACTTGTAGAGGATTACAGGCCTACATTTGACTATTGGAGGTTGCTCTGTGTGTCTAGAAATGATCAGACCCTGTCTGGCTTGTGAAAAGAATAAGGAACATTCAATATGAATACAACAGCAGCCTTATTTGGGTGTTCTTTTCCTTCACACGAAGGAGAGTGGGGCATGCTAGAGAGCCCCAACACTTTGGGTACATTGCTGTCCCCTTGTTTACATCACTCCACGAGTTGAAGGACCAGCTCCTTCAGTTCAGAGCCTTCGGTACTCACAGCAGCTCTCCAGGCAATTTCAAATCCTAATTTTCCAGGATTCTATATCACAGCTGTCAACCGTCCCTTATTTGGGCGGAAACTCCCTTATCCTAGCGCCGTGTCCCGCTGCTGTCCCTTATTGATGATGTCCCTTAAATTTCCTGGGTTTCAAAGGAAGCAGCTCCTCTCCCTCCCTCCCTCCCTGCCAGCCAGGGAGGAGGGAGGCTCCAACTGTTTTGCTTGGCTGCGTTGCTCACCCAATAAGGAGTCTAAGAATGACTGGGGGGTGGAGCTTGCATGCTTTGTGCCGATCAAATCGGCAGCGTTGCCTGGGGACTCGCCTTTGCTCAGCGCTTCCAAGCAGAGAAGTGACGGTGGTTTTCCTTGCTGCATCCTCTTTGCCGGGTTGCTGCGCTGTGGGAACCACTGCTTGAGGCTTCGTTTGGCTGCTGGCTGGGCTTTCTGCCTTTGGCTCGGAGGGGCTCAGAAGTTGAACATACCTGTGCTCGGAAGTGGACGGATACGTCATCGATGGCCCACTCACCCTTGCCGGGGAAATGTCTGTCTGGAGCGGGGGAGAAAAGGAAAGGAGCTGATTGAGTACAATGGCGGGCGGCGATCTCATGGGAGTGGGGGCTTTTGGATTTGTTTTGGAGGCTCCTTCCATTGACTGTTATGGGGGAAAGGAAAGGAGCTGGTTGACTAGAATCCCTTATTTTGGCTGCTGATCCCTTATTTTCGAGGCTGCTGGTCCCTTATTTTCAAATCTGTAAGTTGACAGCTATGTCTATATCACCCACAGAAGCTATATGAGTAGGCCGGGCTTTCTGCTTCAGAAACTATCCTCCAACTCATGGAGGGCTTTCGGGACAGGGGAGGAGAGCTAGTATGCTCATCCTCACTTTTCCTCATTACATAATGGGGGAACCTCAGGGCTGGGACCAAATGTGTTCTTTGGGATTTTCCACAGGCCCCAGCCCTCACCGGCCTATATTTGGCACCTTGAATGTTTTTGGTCTGTGATGCATCACTGAGCAATGCTTCTTGCTTGCTCTGTTGGACGGAGGACACAGAGGGGTGTGTACAACCAGCCAACTGTACAATTTTCATTCATTCATTCATCTGCTCACTTTTGTCTCCGACCAAGACCACCGCTGGCCTGTCTGTGTGTCCCTCAGAAGATAGCCCAGAAAGGAATTTGTCCCTCAGCCTGTAAATGGTTCCACACTCTTGATGTAAGGGATTTGGAACACCTGAGTAGGGCTGTAGAGTCTTCAGACTAGAAGGAAATATAAACATGAAGCGCAACATCATAATTATAAGAGAGCTCTTTCCATATTTTCTTTTACATTTTTGTTACATTATATAATTTATTAAAGTGTGTGTGT